CCTTCAGGCTGTGGCAAATCGGCGCCAGCGTCTCGTTCTTGCAAGACAGTCACCACTCTTCGTGCCGCTGATGCCACAGGCAAGCCAAACTCCTGGCCCACATGCAGGCAACGAAGCTGGCTCTGATGGTCGGATACGTGCTAGAACAACAACAATCACAACAACAGCAGCAGCCGCAACAGCATGAAGAGTTAAAAAAAAAAACGAAGAAAGAACAGTGTGTGTGCGTGTGTGTGTTGGGGGGATGAAAGACAAATGTGTCAATGTCAAAGTGGTCCGAGGCGTACCATCCAATAGCCCGCAAGCATCAGAATTTGCAATTCCTCGTCGTAGACTTCAGATAAGTACGTATGAAGGGGCTCCACTTCTCGCTGCAATCAAAGCAACACTATTCATCAGCTTCACCAAGCACTTCTTTCATAGCGCAACGTCATTTCAACATCATCAACGCACCTGAGCCATGAGATAGAGCGCATAGGCAGCCAAGATGTCGTTGGCTGCATCGCGGACTTCCTGCGTATCTACACCTTGGTCGATGGCTGCAAGACGGGAACTGGTTGCCTCGGCACGGCGCAAGAGCACCACTAGGCTTGCCATGAAGCGCAATTGCGCAAAGAGTTCGGGGTCGCCGCGGTCGGCAACGACTTCCTCCGCCAAAGCCAAAAGATCATCGGCTTGAACAATTTCTTCGCGAGTCACGAATTGTGCTGTGATATCGTGCTGCATCACTCGAACCAAGCCCTGCCATTTCGTTGCGCATTTTCCCGATGTGAGAGGGAGAGAGAGAGAGAGAGAGAGAGAGAGAGAGAGAGAGAGAGAGAGAGAAAGGAAGGAAGGAAGACGACGAAACAACACGGGAAACCAAAAACCAAAAATGAAACCAAACACTGAGCACACACCGCCATGTCGTTCAGAATGAGTAACGTTTGAACCCGATGATGAAAATCATTGGCATCCTCCATGGCGGCAAGCTGCTCAAAAATATCCTGGTTAAATCGAGTGACAGTTCGTCATACAGGGTTAGTATCTTCAGCACCGCTGGGCAGCTCGTGCACAGAAATGACGTACCGAGAGGGACTGAACTTCCGAGTTTGCCTCATTCAACAGGGCTCGTTGATCGCTGGCACCGGTGGCTGCGCCATGTTCACATTTCGTGGCGTCAACGAATGCAGAGAGATCAAGCCATGGCGTCTGCCAACGACATGAACAGAGCTTGCTGCAGCTTACTTTGGCGGAGCGTAGGAAGTTGAACGTCACGGCTATGCAAAGCCTGAGCCAACGATGTAAAAGTTGCAGTGCAGTTGGAATAAGTCCGTCGATAGAGTTGGCACATCAGAAACGCAAACGAGATACGACGGGATGAACAATGGTCCAACGTCCTACCTTTTGCTGCATCTGGTGTTGTCGCGCTGTTGCATAAGCCCACAGGGAATCGTGCCAAGATTGTGAAACCCTGTAGACAAATCGAAGTGGGCGCAGATATCAGACACGGTGAAGACTGTCGTCCTCAACACAGCAGCGGCGAGTTAACATGTGCAACAAGTGAATAGACGGCCAAAGTTACACATACGCGAGCAACGGTTCAGTGGCACCACACAGGGATGCAACAATGGCTCGTAGGAAAGGTGGGCAGCTCTCATCGCGACACATCTCTCGGCACATGCGCTAAGGAGGTTTGGGTTTGACAAATGGGGGTGAGAGAACGAGGAATGCGTTGTAAACCGGCCTTGCACCGAGCAACGCCAACAACGATGCGACCCACCAAGAACAACTCGCGTTGGGGATTGCCGGTCACGTCAGCCTGGATGGTGCTGGTGTATGCGTTCTCATCGTGGACCAGCTGTGCACCTGGGGTCAGGGTGCGAAAAAGGAGGAAAGCCAATCAAAAGCAGATACTCAATAGGTTGAACGTGACAGAATAGGCAGCAACAATAATGCAATCAAACTCAGGTTTGATGGCGGCACATCAGAAACGGATGGACGCTTAGAAGCCGTCCAGCCGCATATCAGCCATGCATGGTGAATTGAGCACACGTACCAAGCATGCAGGAAGCCAACAGCGGCTGGTTGCAGGTTCGGCAGAATTCGAGAGCCTTGTCCACTTTGCCCGTACGTACGAGTGCAAAAACCTACAAACATCACGATTAAGGCCATGGCACCAAGGGGTGTGATGAAACCTGACCATTCAACTGAGCAGGGCTTCCAAGAGGCCAAGGACCCCAAGAGCCGCACCTTCTGATGCAAAATGTTCAAAAGTTCCTGATCCTCAGGATGCAAGTTCTGGTCGGTGCGAAAAGCTGCATCGGGATCCAGCGAGGTTGCGAGAGGTTTGCCGTTCGGCAAGCTTGACTTGCCCTACCGTTCAAGTCACCGCAGAGCACCAGATGCAAGCATTAGAAATTAAAAATGAGCCCGACAGCCCCGACTGCCAACGATGCCGAGATGACAGACCGTTCGGAGGGTACCCAGCGTGGCCGTGGGTCCAATATCATTGGCTTCGTACATGATGTCCGCTGCAGCCCCCGTACCCCATCAAACCCATTTGCAGTGAGCACAGCATTGGTACGCGCACTGTTATTTTGAGCACCACAGCATCGCCAAGCGTTACCGGTGAAAGCCTGAAGGTCACGGGCAGCAATGCCTTGCAGCCATTCCACCAAGGCGAAGGTGATTTGCAAGGCCTCATCGGTGTTGATGGCATGCCGAATATAGTCACGTTGCGACAAGAGTTGAGGCTGCATGGTCGGTGGTGCCACACTCTATAATCAGTGCCATTGAGCACCAAAGATGAGGTGAGCAACGGATGGGTTCATATCGGATGGCATCATGATTTGGCCAAAAAGACGTGTTGTACCGGAATTCCGTCGATGTGAAGGCGCACGACTTGATCCACGAGCAGCCACGAATTGCGTTCTTCACGAAGAATGGCCAGTTGCACGTCAGCATCCGAACCCTCAAGGGTACCGGCCTTCTTGGCCAGGGCCGCCATGACCTCTTCAAGAGCCTATTGTCGAGCGGCAGGTGTAGAGACGAAAGCTGAGCATACAGCAAGCCATGTGTGTGTGCTCCATATGTTTAGAGCCCAAAAGGCTGTTGCGCAGCCGCCCGCCCGAGTCCCGACCTGCAGAAAGACCGCGCAGGGCTTCAGACCCTCAACGTCGCGAGCCACGGTGCTAAAGTGATAAGGGCGAGCAAAGTTGCGTGCAAGGTCGGTCCACAGAGCTGTATGGCCTGCATTATTAGCCCCTGCACCAGTGGTGGTCTCAAAGCGTCGCGAGCTCAGGGTTTGGGACATCATGAGACTTGACGTCATGTCTAGTTTGCTGACATCTAAAGTTCAAGCAACACGGGGATGGAGTGAGTTGAGACAAAGTCGGTCAGTCAGGGCAGAGAGTTGACTGACTTTGGTCAAAGGTTTGCGATAGGTTGCCTTGCTGCTTTTGTTGGCGAGCAATGGCGATACTGCCTGGCGGGAGACCCAGCATGGAGGTGGCCAACCCATCGTCCAGAGGCTTGCGTTGCATTTGCAGTGGCGCTGGACGGTTGAGGCGCTGCAAGCTGCGCTCGAGGTTGCTGTCGGGAACAAGCGATGGTGCAACAAAGGGCGTCGCCACCGTTACAGACTGTTCGTCATCCTCATCGTTTTGGGCTGGGGTGCGTGATGTGGCAAAGGAGCCAGGCACCGGTGTTCCCGTGGGAGTGTGAAAGCTTGCATCAAGGCCTACAATCGCACGTCAACCCGCGAGGGGTGTGAGCATTGGCATCCGAGGCTCATGCCAAGTACAGGAACAGTGGGGTACGCAAAAACATCAATCATTCAAGACCTTTAGCACGCACCGTCGGATGGGGAGGCAGACATGGTCTGAAGGCTGGACATGGCCTTGCGAGCGCGCGAGATAAGCGCACCGCGTCGCATGGAACTTGGCGTGCCCGGCATGCTCGCTAGATGAAGTTTCAAGCAGCACAACATTAGCAAAGACAAGACCCGTCAAGCGGGCAAGCAGCACCATACGCTGCCCGCAAAAAAACCAAAAACAACAACAACAAATAAAAAGCCCAACAACACCCCAAAACAGAAAAGAAGCAAACCAGGGCGTGCAGGCGCACCGGGCGAGTTGGCTTCACTGGCGACGTCCTGGGCTGAACTGCGGCGGAAATAATTTGTTGTAAACTCCTGGCGAACCCAGGGCAGTACATGAGTCAATGAGCCTAGCTTCGGCCTGATCGTGCATTATGGCAGTAACGGCTTTTGAAGCGAGCATGCCAGGCGCACGTACTCCACGGCGCTCAACAGGTGAGGGCATGGCCGGCAGATTGCTGGTCGTTCCACATGTGACAGGACGAGACGGAATCGCAACGGACCAGGGACCAGTGAGTATATTAAAAAAAGTGTAAAGCTGGAAGCAGGGCAAGGACAAGGTGGGGCAAGGACAAGGTGGGGCAAGGGTGAGAACAATCCGTAGCTATCTGCACAGCACATACAAGGACGTGTGGCCCTGAAGCACTGTCCGCGAGAAGACGGATTCCTGCCAACGCACAGGGCGAAATTCGTGAGTTCAAGTCCAGTGCAGCGCACAGGTCTGCCTGTCCCTTCAACCTCAGCATGGCACCATCCAACTCGCCAACCAAGGGCATCAGCCCAGTTCGAACCAACCAATCCCAGCGGGAAGCAAACAAAGTGAGCTACGTACGTCCGGGTTCCGTGCCTCAGCCATGGCGGCAGGTCCTCGACCGAGCTGGCAGTCGTTGGAAATCCCCAATGCAGCAGAAGAAGAAGAAGCAGAAGCAGAGTCGAAATTGAATTTCAGCACTACTTTTATACAACTTTCTTCTGCATGTACTGCTATCAGCCATTCACATGGTTCTTGAACCAAAGAGGCGTTTACTTCATTATCTTGAATCTTTTCTGCATCAACTTCAAACACGGACCTTTTTTTTTCCTTTGTCACAAACACATGCGGCGACCAAGAAGAAGTATTTTACATCCGATATTTTCAGCTGAAATTTGATCAATAAAATTGAACGGTCAAAAAAAAACGGCGAGGCAATTAGCAGGACGATACAACACAATTATGAAGCAAGAGCTCACACGAGTGGTGAGTAGAAGACAGGCAGGGATCAGATAGCAGGAAGAAAGAGCTGTGACTGGCCACAGCCACACGACTTGCCAAGCAATCACGCCAAGAGGGCTGACTGCGAAAAGCAGACCCGTGCTGTTTAAAAGGGTGCAATGCAGAAGCAGAACACAACAGGCACACACGCAACAAGCACGTGGCACTCAACGATCACATGTCGCGCCTGAAGTGCCTGAAGCTAGTCGCTAGAGCGCGAACCGCAGGCTGAAAAAAGAGGAAGGAAAAAGAAAAAAGAAAAAAAGAAAAGAAAAAGAAAAAGAGAAGAGGATCCCTCCAAAGAAGCGGCCAATCAATCAGCATGCACCATAGTTTCAAAATGACAGCGCACAGGAAAGTCAACAAGGGCTCTGCGGAAGAAAATGCAGCGACCTCAAATGGAAAAACAACAAACGAAAGGAGAGACCTCCCCCACGAAACGGCTCCGGAGAAAGGGCCTGAAAAAGCCAGATATCGGGTCCAGCCTTTAGACCTTAAAGCCGCGGGCTTCCGCCATTAGTTTCAGTGCACTGAGACAATTGACGACCTAAGAGTACGCGACGAGACTACGTGAGACATCACAGCATGGCACAAGCAAAGGGATGGAGGCTTTGTCGCGGGTCAGAACCCACCATCTGCATATCGCCTTGATTGAACAAATCCACTGTGATGAAAAGCTCCGAATCACGTAGCCCTGCAGACGGTCCCGGCAAAAACACGAAAGAAAACTTAGAAGAGCCGGGATGCTGTGCGGTGGCGCTTTAGGCAGGCACGAGAAGGTCGAGGCGGCCTGCGACGAAAAAGCCTCGTACCGTAAGCCTTAGCGGCTGCCAGGAAGGATTGAATGTTCTCCATCTTAAACAGAAGTCACGGGTAAAAGTGGAGGAAGACAACGTGAGTGTAACGGCAAGGAAAAAGAGGAAGGGGAGGGGGGGCGGGGGGCGGCGCCAATATCAGCAACAAGATGCACGAACCATGTAGTAGGCCAAGCGGGGGTTGGTGTGAACATTTTGGATGGCACCGGGTTGAATCTTGTTCATGATGGTACACAACACTTCACCGCTTTTGAGAATCTGCAGGTTCAAACGGATGGCATCGAAGATGTGTCAGGGCGAGAAACATTTTTGTTCTTTGCGCATCATTTGAGACCTGCGTCGTGTGCCCACCTCCTCCTCGCTCCCCATGGCCACACGTACCTCATAAAGGGTTTCACCCTCAGTGTAATCGCCGATTACGGCGTCGATCCAAGCTTGCATGTCCTTCAAAGCTTGACGCCGCATGTTCTCGCGATGCATGGCTGATTGCGCAGCCGTGCGCGAATTGTCGTTGGCCAAGTGGTTGCGCGAGGGCACGACTTCAGTGCCTCCGGCATCGTAGGACGTGCCTGTGGCCCGACTGACAGCTGCTAGCGAGTCCAATACTCCTTCGCTACTGCGCACCAGTTCTGGCGCACCCTCTGCTGCTGGGGTGGGGCCTGTCGCAGCCTTGGCAGCGGCCTCTTCTTGAGCCATGGCCACGGCATCCTTGTTCTGAGAAGCGTCGACACCCTTACTACGGCGGCGGCTCTTCTTGCGGGCCAACTTTGCAGCGTCCTTGTCGGCCTTTTCTTTCTGCTTTCGCGCAGCTACCGTGGCTGGGTCATTAGCCTTCTCCTCTTCTACCTTTGCCATGGTTTCCTATAGACATGATGGGGAGAAGTTCGTGAAACAAGACCAGAGCCAACCTCTTCTTCCTTCCTACCACCCTTGCACCAAGAGACAAAACAGCAAGTGTGCATGCCTCTGCTTCAAACCCTCCACTCTCATTTTTTTCAACAAAGAAAAAAAAAAAAAAAAACAAGAAACAAAAAAACAAAACAAAACAAAAAACAAACCAAACCTACCCATTGGCTGCGCATAGCAGCGGCGGCACCAAAGGACGGACGATGGTCACGGGGCTTGACGTTGGAATTGGTGTCGACCTGCAGGGCCAGCTCCTCTTGGGCTTGACGTGAGCGTAGAGTTGAGGTTGATCCACTCGTTCGGACAATATCTTGCACCTCCGATTCTTCCTGAGCCTTGGCAATGGCTGCTTGCATATTCGAGAGTCCCTGGAGCCTCGTGTCCGTGTACATGGCTGAATTGGCGGCAGAGTCCTGTGCGCTTGACTGTGTCTGATAATGCACGCCATAGGCAGAAGGAACCGTGTCTTCGTCATCGCTATCCCCACCCCCTGCTTGGGCCGGCATGCCAGCACCAGTACGTGAAGCATCTTGAGGTGGCTCATAATCGCTGCTGCCTGCAATTGCAGTTGCAGGTGGAGCAGGGCTCGATGCCGCTGCCTCAGGTTCGGCATCCACATCGTCAACACCCGGTGAAGTGGGCTCGCGACTGCCGTTGCGCTTTTGCTTGCGAATGGGTTCATCAGAAAGCGTCGCCGCTAGCGCAGTAAACTGGGTCGTGCGACAAAAACGGTGAGGAAGAAGTGTCTGATGAGCAACATGTGTGCCAATACGTCATGATGAAACCACCACGAAACAAGACTGGTGGCATCCCATGCCATGTACCTTTTCATGCAGTTCCTTGAAGCTGATGCGATCCTCGGGTTCATCCCAGCAGCGGGTCATGAGCGCGTAGAATTCGTCCGAGCATTCTGCGTCAAGGACGGAATTCGAGGCATAAAGTCGAAGAGAGTGTGAGACGAGGTGCTGCGGTGAGGTTGGGCCCACGTGTTGAAAGGTCTGACAAAACATCGCGGCGACATACCCTTGGGCTGGGGCATGCGGTATCCATCGGTAATGCGTTCAACGACCTCCATGTTACTCAATCCAGCGTAGGGCATCTTGGCAAAAGTCACGAGCTCGTAAATGACAATGCCATATGACCAGACATCAGATTGTGTGGTGTAGACGCCATCTTCAATGGCCTCCGGGGACATCCAGCGGACGGGTAGGGGGTTGGAGCCTTGCATCTTGTAGTACTCGCTGGTATAAGTGTCACGACCAAGGCCAAAATCACCGATGCGAGTTTCCCAGTTGTCTTTCACGAGGCAGTTGCGAGCGGCAAGATCACGGTGCACAATGCGCAGACCGGCAATGTAAGCCATGCCATCGGCCACGTCCGCAGCGATGAGGGCCAGGCGGCGAGGGGAGAGTGCTGACGGCTTTGAGGTTTTGGGGCGGGAGTTGCGAAGCAAGGTCTTCAAGTCACCCTTGGCCATCAGCTCCAACACCATCAGGAACGGTGTTTCGCGAGTGCAAATACCCAAGAGTCGGACAATTTTTTGGTCGCCATCAATGGTCTGCATGATCTTGACTTCCTTCATAAAATCGTTGGTGGCCTCGGAGCTGGAGTCTTGCAGCATTTTGATAGCCACGGGCGTCACGGCTTGGTCCGGCATGATTTTCTTTGCCTCACCAGCATAAACGACGCCAAAGTGGCCTTCACCAAGCTTTTGTTTCTACTCAAAGTCACGCGCAGCGATGAAAACATGAGATGGGCTGACGCTGGTCCCATGGCAAGTCACGTCGAACGAAAAAAACAAACAAACAAACAAACGCGCCACGTACGAGTACAATCTTGGATCGATCAAGTTCCCATTTTTTGTTGAGCTCGAGCTGACCGGTGGCCGTGGCGGCAGGCATGCCTACTACTTTGCGAGTTGGGGTGAGGGCTAGCCGATGACGTCAGCACAATGGGAAGACGTGGAAAAACTCACAAATGGATTCGCGCTTGGCCACGGGCGGGGGCAGTCCCATGCTGTTCGTGGATTGGGATCGCTGAACGGCCTCCGGGGATGGCGCATCCACTTCATCGTTGGCATACAGCGGTGTGTCATCGCCATCCTCATCAACCTTTCTGGTTTGTTCCACATCAAGGTAGCTCTATGCCGTGGCAATTAAGTTGAGCAAGTTAGTGGTGTGTGCTGACAGAAAATGGGCTAGCAGGCCGCGTCGATGGCATGATAGATCCTCGTATGCCTCGTACGCATGGCAAAGAGCGAAAGTGAGTTGCGTCAAAGGCGAGGAAGGGGCACACACCTCGCCATCGTCAAGGGGCTTGCGCAGTGTTGCGGTCTGATTACCAATCTCTGTATAGACACCGAGGGCTTCAACGTCCGACTCTGAGTTGCGCTGCGAGCGCTTTGATTCGCGCGTCTTCTTCTCCTGCTTGGTTGAGGAGGATGGTTTGATGGCTAAATGCGGCGGTTGTGCGTGAGAGTAAGTGCCTGAGGCCCAGCAGGACCTGGCGCAACCATTGGGCGGGGGATTGGTGATGCCCTGGAAGATGCTCGAGACGTACTGTTGAGGCCAGATTGGGTGCTGTTGGTGCTGTCGACACGCGAAGGGGTGGCTGAGCTGCTACGGCGGGCAAGCAAAAACTCAATTTCGGCGTAGTTCTTTTCGGTGGCTCTCATCATGGCTGTGCGGCCTGTGATCATTCAGGAGGCGGCGATCAGGGACCAAAAGCGTGTTTGAGCACCCACGAGGCTTGTCATGCTAGAAAACTTTGGCATGCTTGGCAAAGAATGGGATTGATTGGTGATTGATTGGTGCTTGACGCGTGAGATGGGCCTACCGTGTTTGCCAACCGGAGCAGCAGGGTCGGCACCAGCATCGAGCAGCTTTTCGACCTGGCCTCGATTGCCGCGTTTGACAGCATCGTCTGATTAGGTGAATGGACGAGCGGTGGTGAGTGTCTGGCCGGTGTGTACAGCTTTCCATAGCGTGCTGACTTGGCGCAACAAACAGGCTGTGCGGCACGTACAAAGCTTGCGGTCCTGCTTGCTTTTGCTCATGGCTGGTAACATAAGGGTGGATGGCGCAAGGGGGGTTTCGCCTGGACAGAGAAGAAAAAGACGGGCAGCACGGAGCTGCCGACCACGAGGGATGACGGGAAAGGCTTGTGTGGGTGTGTGTTTTAAGGTGATCGCTTGGTTTGCTGGACCAAGTGGACAACGAGCAGTGCCTCACAAGGGCACCCGCACCGACCACGGCTCAAACTACAAGCAGAGAGGAAGGTGAGGAGAAGGAATGAACATTGGCTAGGGTAGACAAGGACGAGGCCATTGGTTGACCAAGGCATGTGCCGAAACGGCTGCCCGTGGTGGTACAAGCATGACGTTCCCGCCTTTTCCGATCTTTCTGGCATTGCTCCAACCTCACTGCTATCCCTTGCCTTGATCGCACTGCCAAAAAGGGGGGACTTGCCTGTTGCACAGGTCTCGGCCAGTTCAGGCAGAGGACGAAAGAACCCAAAAGCAAACCCGCCGCCCTGCATCAAGAAACAACTGCCGCTCGAGTGTGCGCGACGGTCCGGTCCCAGGTCCGGTCCAGTCCAAGATGAGAGAGAGAGAGAGTTTGAGAGAGAGAGAGAGTTTGAGAGAGAGAGAGAGAGTTTGAGAGAGAGAGAGAGAGTTTGAGAGTTTGAGAGAGAGTTTGAGAGAGTTTGAGAGAGTTTGAGAGAGTTTGAGAGAGTTTGAGAGGGTTAGATAAATTGGTTTGGTCGGTTTGAGAGAGTTTGAGAAGTTTGAGAGAGTTTGAGAGAGACTTAGAGAGAGTTTGAGAGAGTTCAGAGAGTCGCGTTTGTAGGTGTATGTGTGTGTATGCATTGTTGTTGCTACTACATGTACATGTCGATGTAGATGTCTATGGACATGCCATGCCGTGAAGAGGGTCCGGTACTATCTGGCCCTTCTGACGGTGGACAGATGGCTAACCTTCCGTGCTCTGCCTTTTTGCTTCTGAGCCTCCTGTCCCTCCCGATCATCTCGAGGAAATTTATCATGAGCCGCTGCCATTTCTGCCCCAGGCAGGCGGCTCCCACCCACCGCCCCCCCACCCAGCGTTGCACTATCCGCCCCTTTTAATAGTGTAACAGATCTCACACATGCCGTTGACGTCTGTCATCTCTGGAATGTCCAGCACGAGCGGGCAAAAGATGTAACACTTGGTCACACTTTTCCAGCGCCGACGGCTTTCGACCGTTGAAAGTCACTGCTTTCTATATCTGTTGCCCGACCGTTCCGACTGTTGCATCGCGGATGGATGGCGACGATGGTGTCGATGGTGTCGAGCTGCTCCAGTGTCTAGCTGCTCCAATGTCTAGCTGCTCCATTCTTGTGAATGGGGAGGGGGTTTGTGCAAATGGCTGACAGCTGGCTGTGAAACTCTTTTTTTTTTCTCTTCTTTTTCCTTGCCATGGCACGCCGGGCAACGGCGCCTCGATCGGAGGGTCGAAGCAGCAGTCTGCTCCAAGTGCATACAGCTTTGCGCAACCACGATCTTCTTCCGGCTCTCCGCCATGGTACGGTGCGAAAATTATGTTCTGCATCGGTTGCACATGATGTCCAATGTGCTGATGCAGGATGGTTGTTGGTGGCTTTACTGTTAGTTGACTGCAAGATGGTGCTCAAGGACAACCTGGCCGCTCACTTGCTGCTTCCAGCCAAGCGAGGTGCCGCCATTCTCCTCACTGACGCTGATCTCTGTGAAGGAGATGCTCACTTGTCAGGTTTGCTCAAAGCCCGTGCAGCTCCGCATCCCCCCAAAGGATCGCCAACTCCAGACCACGCACTCAGCGTTCACGTCCCCCCCACCTCCCATCCCTGCTCATTTGCACAAAACGTCATGCCATCCCACCAGGCTTGCTCGCGCGGCTCGATGTATACCACCGGCGCCTTATTCTGGACCTGTCCACCCCAGTGTGCCGTGCACAAGCCACTAAATTCCGAACCGACCTTCTGTGCCGTGAGCCGGCGGTCGCCATTTTGCGCTTCAAGTGCGACTTGAACACACGTTTGCTTGTTTGGTGTCATTGGGGCGGAGCGTGTTGTTCCGATGCTCTTGCTCAAGGGTTCTCGTTTGCGTCATTCCTTTCCAATCTTGATTGTAGTGACGTGGCCGAGGTGGCCGAGTATATCCGCCAGTGGTGCGCTCAAAAGGCCTTTTGCGCCCCCCAAGACAGACCTCGGCAACATGATCGGGCCGTTATTGGTGCAGTCAAATTATTGCACGGGTATGTTCACACTTGATTGCATGTGCTCTTTTCTTCTCCCATTGCCTTCTGATCGATGCCACGCTGTCATACGTTCTGACATTGTGCCTTTCACGACGCTGCGTCGTTCGGCTTCTTCGAGGCAGAATAGGTCAGGTCAAGGCCGTGCGCCTCCTTTCCAGCTTTCCTGCCCTGCCCAAGTTGGCTGCTGCCTCCCGCACCGAGCTGCAACACCACCTGGGCCAAGATTTGGGCACGCGCCTCTACAAGCTTTTGCACACAAAGCTGGCTCAAGCAGCCTCTGCCTCTGGCCCCAGTTCGCCCTGCTGATCGCGCACCATCCCTTTCCTAGAGCATAATAATATTATTATCACGAAATTTCTACATCCATCCTTATCATACGACTAATTTATATCAGACATTTTTTGGTCTCAACCGCTTGTTGACCATTGCTGTCATGCCGAGAGGACAGCTGGCATGCACATCTTCATTTCTTCGGAGACAACTCAAGGCGAGAATCACGAAAAGCAAGCTCTTGATTGACAACTGCAAAATTGTTGGAGCTGCACTTGTTGTGTTGTGCGTTTTTAAAATCAATCAGTTTGCAGGGCACAACAGTCTCGTCATGGGTCAGGTTGCTTGTGGGATAGACTGAGCCTCAGAGTTATGCCCAGTGAGTGTCTGGCATCCGGGGTTCTGAGTGAAACTGTTATGATAAATTGTATGCATCAACTAGCCAGTAGCAGGACTGCTGGTTGTTTACACGAACCCAAACAAAATTCAGTAGGGACGATTGAATTGACACACACCACACACACACACACAGACACACACAGACACAGACACACACACACAGACACACACACACACAGACACACACAGACACACACACACGAATTGGTGAGATTAAAGAGAGAGACAGAGTGACAGAGAGAGAGTGAGAGTGAGTCAGAGACAAAAGTCAAAAAAAAGGTCATCAGGCACAGGAGGAAAAGAATATCCATGACACTTTGTGAATCCGGTCAAGGTACTTATGTCAAAAATCACACTTTGCAGCGTAGCTGCTGCAAGGCGTTGGTATGCATCACGTGGATTGCATGTGAAGGGTTCGTGGTCCGCCTTGAGGGCCTACCATCCAGGACTTGCGCACACGAGTTCGGACTGGGTTGTGTCTGGATTGAAGACTGCTGCTTTTGCACCGGCATTTTTTTTTTTTTTCACATGTACTTTCCTTCGTGCTCTTGCCGAGAAGGTTGCGGCACGTTGTGTGCTGCTTCCCTCAACAACGCACAGTATCGGCCAATCCTAGCCTGCCGAGGTTGAGATTTATGACCACATGACAGCAAGTGGAACTTTTCGCATCGAGCCGGTCAGAACGACTGGGTATGTACCTGTCGCAGGTGCCAATGCTTTGCCTCGACGCCAACGCTCCAAAACGCACCACTCATTCACTTTTGTCATGGCGTGTGCCCATGCCAGCAGAAATGGGTTGGCCACTGCTTGCTGCTTTGGTCCTGGCGGTGACTCCCAGTGCCGCCCAGTGGATTGCAGGTGGCAGCCCAACGTTGTATTGCCGGCAGCCAGCTATGAAGGACGGGGTGGAATATCACCTCGCAGGCTATGATGCAGCACGAGATGCCACCATCTCGAATAAGTACTACAAGAACTACGATGCCTTTTTCGATTTTGACAACTACCTTCAGCAAGCGGGAAAGATCGGGTCTTCATCGTGGTCATCGCCTGTACTATCCGTGGACGACGTCCGCGGTGTCGCACTAGAGGGTAGCGTGGAGACTGTGACTGTTTTTGGCAAGTTTGCGGCGCCAGGAAAGGAGTACGATTTGTCGTTTAACGGCAATCCACCCGACACCTTCCGGGTCACAATTACCTTCATGAATGGCGCTCGAAGCTCGCTTGGAGTCCAGGATGTCATGTACGTGGAAGGAATCAGAGACGGGCGCATTTTGATGTTGATCCCCATTGCAAACTTGGAGCTGGGCGAGGCGAAGAATCCGAGCGTGATCAGCTTTGAGAATACCTTCTCCGTTCCTTCGGGCACCAAGTATTTGCAAATAAAATACTCATTTTTGACGACCCATCAGCATGAGCACTACCTCTTTGGCGATCTGGTAGTCTTGGGCTGCACCGCCGGTGCTGGTTGTGAGTTCTGTCCAGCAGGCAAGGAGCCCAACGCTGCTCGTACGCAGTGCCAGCCTTGCGCTGATGGCACGTACAGTTCAAGTACCATGGGCACCTGTGTTGCTTGCGCTGACGGCGCAGAGTCGTCGAATGACCGAGCTTCGTGCGTGGCTTGCACAGGGCTGGAGTATCGCAATGCGTTTAACATGCAGACTTGCGCAGCGTGCCCCGTGGGCACACTGCCCAATGCTGAGCGCAGTGGTTGCGACACTTGCGATCTTGGCAAGTATCGGTCCAGTGCCATGAGCTTCTGTGCCGCATGCGCGAGCGGTACCGAATCTACAGGCAACCGAGCCTCCTGTGTGGCGTGTACTGGGCTGGGGTATCGAGATGCATCGAGCATGGACCAGTGTGCGGCGTGCCCTGTAGGCACGACGCCCAAGGCTGATCATAGTGGCTGTTACATTTGCAATCCTGGAACCTATCGCTCGGCTGGAATGGGGGCGTGTGCAGCGTGCGCGGACGGTACCGAGCCGTCAGGCGATCGCACGTCATGCGTGCCGTGTACAGGAGTCAAGTATCGCGATGCATCGAGCATGAACCAGTGTGCGACATGCCCTGTGGGATCAGAGCCCAACGCTGAGCGCAGTAGCTGTGACACTTGCAATTTAGGAACCTACCGGTCAAGCGCAATGAATGCCTGTGCGGCGTGTCCAGTGGGCTCGGAGCCCAACGCCGGGCGCAGTGGCTGTGACACCTGTGATGCCGGCAGCTATCGTGCGGCTTGGATGAGTGCGTGTGCCGTGTGCGCGGACGGTACCGAGCCGTCAGGCGATCGCACGTCGTGCGTGCCGTGTACAGGAGTCGAGTATCGCGATGCGTCGAGCATGCACCAGTGTGCGGCATGCCCTGTGGGCTCAGAGCCGAACCCGAATCACAATAGTTGTGACACTTGCGCTGCTGGTAGCTATCGCTCAAATGGAATGAGCGCGTGTGCCGTGTGCGCTGATGGCACGGAGCCAGCAGGGAACCAAGCGTCGTGTGTACCGTGCAGGGGATCCGAATATCGCGACGCATCGAGCATGAACCAGTGTGCGGCATGCCCTGTGGGCTCAGAACCCAACTCGGAGCGCAGTGGCTGTGACACGTGTGCTGCTGGTAGCTATCGCTCGGCTGGAATGAACGAGTGTGCCGTGTGCGCGGACGGCACCGAGCCGTCAGGAAACCAAGCGTCGTGCGTGCCGTGTTCAGGAGCCGGGTATCGCGATGCATCGAGCATGGACCAGTGTGCGACCTGCCCTGTGGGATCAGAGCCCAACACTGAGCGCAGTGACTGTGGTTCTTGCGATCTCGGGACATATCGCACGGCTGTGATGGACGCATGTGTCGTGTGCGCAGACGGCACCGAGTCGGCACGTGATCGGGCATCGTGCGCCCCGTGCGCAGGCGCAGAGTATCGGCAAGCATCGAGCATGAATCAATGTATGACTTGCCCGGCAGGGCAGGGGCCCAATGCCGAGCGCAGCGGTTGCGGCTCTTGCAATTATCTCCCAGCCACAAATGCGCAGAGCAATGACACGGCAGCTGCCTATGGCGATACTCTTGCTTTTTCGTGTCCAGCAGGCACGTACTTGGATGGTCCCGCCATCTTGACCTGCATGGTGTCTGGGACATTTAATGCAGAACCACCCGTCTGCGTACCCTGTCCCGTCAACACGGCACAAATTCAGGGCAACCACACGGATGCTACCTGCCAGCCTTGCGCAGCACACATGGGTACGGCTTCGGAAGGCAGCAGTGCGTGTGCGTGCAAGGCTGACTACTTTATCTCAGAGGGCATCTGTACGGCATGTCCATTTGGACACGCCAAGGCAGGCATTGGCAATGTCACCTCGTGTCCTCTTGTCACCATTGGTGTGTCATACACGTTCTCAGTGTCTGCAGCAGTGGCGACGCACGAGCTGGCTGGCGACCTGGAAGACGCCCTCGAGGCGGCCCTTTCGACAGCAGTCTCGGGTCTCGTGATAGACCGTGTACACATGACATCGTCTCATGGGCAAACACCCAATACTTCAGTGGCGTCCTTCACAATGGCCGTAACCAAAGCTCATCAGAAGTCCACCTGCTGTGCTTTGCAATCGGTTTCCTTCGGCGGCCTACCAGATCAGCTCGGGGTTCGAGGGTGGGACAACATCAACACCACCTTTTTTGATCGTTCTGGCTGCGATACAGCCTTGTGTGGTGCCATGTGCCCCGCCGGCTCCTCCTTGAAAGGCAGCCTGTGTATCATCTCGGACATGGCATGTCCTGATGGCTTTGCTGTTTCAAACGGCGTGTGCGTGAGCGAGGAAGGCAGTGTGCGCTGTCCAGACGATGCCATTACCACGCTTGTCAATGACGCCCTTGCGTGCGCCTGGCCCGTGGTCTGTCCCCTTCAAAACGAAGTGTATGTCCCCAATCGCGGCTGCTTCATTCCCGAGACGTGTGCCCCTGGCACAGAACTAACGTCCGAGTATTTCTGCGTTCAAAGCATCAAGGACTGTGGCGTGGGCTTCACCTACAACAAAAGCCTAGTTACACGCGCAAATCGTGTCAGCTTGCGAAGCGGATGCCAAGACATTGATGAGTGTCTGGCTGCAGGGCCCGGTTGTTCAGATGACAGTACCTGTGTCAATGCTGAAGGCGGGTTTGCTTGTGAATGCAACGATGCTTCACTGCAATACAATGCAATCCTTCACGCATGCGTGAACCCCAGCGCATGTGTCACCCCGTCCAACATTGCTGCACTGGGCATCCGATATTTTATTAACAGTCATGGTGCCTGTGTGTCGGACACATATGTGTGTAATATTGAGCATGCGGTGTATGAGCCTGAGATCGTCACCCCCGACAACCTCGGTTTAGCCAGCTTTCGGCCGTGTGTGGCACCCAACTCCAACTGCACCGTGTCTGGTCCAAGTGATAGCATTGTGAGCTGTATGTGTAGCACGGGCTACTCGGGCGATGCGCAAACGGGACCAGACAGCGTGGGCTGCCAGAGTTTTTGTGATCCCAACCCATGTCGCTTTGGTAGCGAGTGCGAAGTCTCGCGGCGCGGTGCGCGCTGTAAATGCCCGGCCGGATTGAAAGGCAACAATTGTGCAATTTTGCCCGAGGCATGTAATGGGCGCTGCAACGGTCGCGGTACCTGTACGCCTGGTGCTGCAAGTCCCGATTTGAACCCTCGAACATCATCCTATGTGTGTCAGTGCGACAGAGGGTTCTCCGGCCAGGATTGCGAAGTCAACGATGCGGCCATGAGTGCAAGTCAGGCACAGCCGGCGTATGACGCTTCCTCGCCGGTTGTTATCGGCGCTGGGGTGGGTGGCATCGTCTTGCTCCTCCTGCTCGCACTTGTCATCGTACGTCGCCGCAAGCGCAAGACAGCAGCAGTTCCTTTGGTTTTGGAGAATCCGTACGACTTGCTGCAGCTACACGGCACTGAAGTTTGGGAGGTGGAGCGGCAGCGCGTGCGATTGGGCGAAAAGTTGGGCAACAGTGCGTCTGCCGAAGTCTTTCAGGCCTGGCTTCGCAACCGCCACAGCTACGGGGAGCAAAGCTGTGCCGCCAAACAGCTCAGGGTACAAGCATCATCGACAGAACGCCAAGCCTTTTTATCGGAGATGACTGTGATGAAGGATATGGGCGAACATCCCAATGTTATTGGCATTGTTGGGCACTGTCTTCATGACGAGCCGCCCATATTGCTGGTTGAGCTGGCTGAGCTGGGAAACCTCCGTGACTACTTGCGCGAGTGCCGCGCGCCTGACAGTGGGCCGCAGCCGCTCTCTGCAGCCCAGTTGCTCGACTTTTGTTGTCAGATTGCCAATGGCATGGCGTTTTTGGAGCAGAAAAAAATTGTTCACCGCGATCTCGCCGCTCGGAACGTATGGTTGCACTGCCTTGCCAAATCCTGATCGTGCCATCTGTGGCCATGTTTCAAGCAACGTGGCTTCAGTCCTGCTGTTTGTGTGCGGCTGATGGCTGGGCTTTGTTTGTACCAGCAACTCACTGGCGCTGGTGCATTGTCATTTAGGTGCTGGTGGGCCAGCAACTGTCGTGCAAGATTAGCGATTTTGGGCTGGCTCGGGCGCTCGATGGGGAACAGTACGAAACGACACTTGACAGGTTTCCGATCAAGTGGATGGCCCCAGAAAGCCTCGCAAGGAGCATTTATTCAATCAAATCCGACGGTATGTTCAAAGCACCCACTTCTTGGCTGCGCCCCAGGTGTTTCATAGCCTAACATTCTTAACATGCCTGCAGTTTGGGCCTTTGGCGTGACCATGTGGGAGGTTTTTTCAATGGGAGGAACCCCGTATCAGGCGTATCAAAATGCCCAGATTTTGGGCTTATTGGAGTCTGGCCATCGGCTACCCATGCCAAGCCAAGCGCCTTTAAAGGCCGACGAGATTATGCGCCAGTGCTGGTCAATACACGCTGAAGAGCGACCAACCTTTAGTGCGCTCGTGAGCGCCTTGACAAGCCTAAGCTCTGACAAGAATATGTCATCCATGGTACGCGACTCAGGCGGAGAAGTGACGTACGAGGCGATTGCGGACGCCTCAGACGCTAGTGAGAGCTCGGGCATCCGTGCGCCCGTACAAGGCACCAGCAGCGTTGAAGTGTGGCTGGACCAGAGCGTGTACGAGACACAACTTACCGGAGACAACACCTACGATAACCAAGTCGATGGCCAGATGCTCGAAGTGTGTATTGCGTGTCTTGTTTGCCTGCTATTGTGTCACCATCTCTTGCTTGGGGTGATTCAAACAAATGTGGAGCTGTTTGAAGTGTGGAGATTGATGGGTTGCCAGTCTCACACGTAGTGTCACAATGATAGGGGCTGTGGGCCGAAAACAGGATGTTTCGCGCAAATGAAGGCGCACAGAAGCCTCAGTTGTATGAGGACGTGTACGGCGACGCGGGCAATCTGGGCTCAGCGGCGCCTGAGGTATATACGCAGACAGAGTTTGGGGCTCTCACTTGCTCGCTGGGCTCAGTTCGTGCGATTGTGGCACATTCATGTCATTGTGACAGCCTTGTCTGTTTCTTTCTTGGGAGGTTCACAACTGGCATTTTTTTTCCTGCGCGTGTGTGTATCGGATCTGGACGTATAGGGACAGCGCATGGAGAAAACCCCTTTTTGTGCTAGTGCAACGCAACTCATCTATGACGACTTTGAGGACGCTAACGATGATGGCCAGGTGTGTCCATGCTTCCAATCTACTACAATGCCTTGAGCGCCTCCTCCGGAAGAATCAGACACCGCAGTCTGTGCTATTGATGGTATCAAGCGATCTCATGGATTATGAGGGAATTTATAGGTGCTGGCAGCTGAAAACAAACTTTTCTGTGCCGAAGCAAATGCCGTGGGATACGAATCATACCAAGTGTACGGCAAAGAAGTCGTCCTCAGCTCGGCAGCAGTTGAGGTACGCGACCACCCTTGCCGTCATATTCTCGTGCTTTTACATGCATCACCTCATCGGGTGCTGACCCATTGCTGTGTTTGCAGACGGGGATGGGAAACGAGAGAAGCTCAGTCCTTGGCACGCACGTGGATGATGATGAATCTCAGCTTTATGCAGACATTGATGATCTGCCGAATAACAACCAGCAAGTGGTGCTTCAGGTTGGCACTCGGAATCCTAGTCTGCGCGAGCTTAGGGGCTGTGCCTGGTTTTTTATTCATTTGAATGCCCGTGACCCAGCAGGGAAGAAGCCAGGAAGCGCAGGCCAACGAATCCCAAATCTACGAAGACATTCTTGACATCAAAGATGAGACGCAGGTCCCAAGCGTCATTTACGATAACCAGGACAGCAATGGCCAAGTTCTAAACGAGGTGCGTAGCTACGCCTGACTTTCGAGGCTGAGGTGTCTCCGAAAGTTCACTTTGTTCTGGATTTGAAATATCGCAGGGGCCAAGTGCTAGTGGCAGCAATCAAATGCTTGGCGCCAGGACAAGTGCCAACGAGTCTCAGATCCGGGAAAGCTTTTACGACAATCAGGACAGCAACGGTCAAACAATGACTGAGGCGCAGATGCCTGATGCCACCCGCGAGTCTCCAATTACATGTATTGAGGACATGTACGACAACCAAGACAGCAATGGTCAAACGATGGCCGAGGTTCGTGCTTGCGCTCGTGTTTGACTTTTGCTTCGGACCTGGGATAGCAAAGCGAATGACTTCATCCCCTGCGCGCAATTGTGTTGATGGATGTACCGAATCATTCCCTTTTTTAGGGGCCTAAGATGGACACTGGCATAGTCAATGAGGAGGATGAATCTTGCGCTGCTGACTCAGGCACGACCAAGATCATACGCAGCCGATCCGGAAGCATGGCTCGTTTTGGGTTTTTTAGCTCTCGTGCGGGCACCCAAGACCGCCGCGCCACCATCTACGACCACCCAGTGTCTCGCGATACAGAGCGAGCTGCACCGTCGTTGCTCTTGCAAGATGACGGCACCGTGTATGACCACATCCATGATGACCTTGACATTTAGGACACGATTTCGGACAGCTGCCAGCCCCAAGAGGCGGCCTTTTAGTTTTTCAGTAGGGTTCCTAGTCATACATCCAATGCAGTGCAGGCATTGCATGTTTTCTGATCATCATCATCGCACCATAACATCTCCAGTCAAGAGTCACAGTCATAGTTGATGTTGTGAAAAGCACACACCATGCGAATGTTCTTCTCTGCCAAAACCACCAACCTCCACAAACACAAATGTCAGAAGATTGAAAACCAAAGCTTTTTTGGATTTTTTTTTTTCATGTTATCCATGCATCATCGCCTGTGATGGCGGCACCGGAGATCTCGGGTCTGCGGCCCTCGTTTGGACCATCGGTATGATGTGCAAGTGTATCACATGCCCATTTGAGGGGTTTCATTGACACGGAATCAAGTTTGAAGCGCACAGGGCTTGCACCACTGGACAAGTCAGCAGATCTCCTCATCTCCTCTGTCATGCGACCACTAGACGGGCGGCACCGTTGTCACAGTGCGTGGTACCGAGCTGGGCGAGAGTCTTGACGACATCATCGGTTTGTCAATGACGGGGTAGCTCCTTCTCTCTCTCTCCCTCTCCCTCTCTCTTTCTCTTTTTTTTTTTTGATGCCAAGAACCTGCCCGTGTTGCTCTGCTCAAACCTGACGCTTTGCCAAATTCCTTGCAGATGTGACGGTGAGCGGCATATCTGTGCGCGACTCACTGCAGTATGAGAGCTCGTCGAAGATTCGCATTACCACACCTCCGTGTCGTATCTCTGGGCCCATCATCATAACCACCACATCAGGGGGCCAAGGCATTTGCCCCATTAGCTTCACCTTTGACATTGTCGAAACTCCTGAGGATGACCATGACCACACCGTTGGTTCGTTCTTGGCTGGCGCCAACCTGATGAACACGCCATGCATGTTGGTGCAATGATTTGAGCCCTTTTTTCAGCGCTCAACATTCACGCTCTCTCTTCGTCTGCAGGCTTTTTTGAAGAATGCTCGACCTGGAAGGAAGAACTACCGATGGACCAGGGAGACCGTGCCAACAACCCTGCTGCACATGTGGATCGCGATCCACTGGGCGTCCTTGGGTCCGCCGTTGTGGACGACACCGAGAGGCGGCGCCAAAACAGGGTCAGATCAGCCTTCTTTTGACACATGCTTAGCAATCAGTACATTGATGCAACATCCCTCCAATATTTGTTGTTCACGCTCATCTTTGTCTCTGTCAACCTCTGCAAGTGCTCAAATTTTATTGTGTGTCCCTCACCCCCGTGGCCCTCACATCTTTATCACAGATTATCAAGGGGTTGCAACACGAGTACAAGAACAAGTCAAGCGTCATGTCCGAGGCCAAGTTTGAGCCTGCTCTGCTTTTTGCCTCGACCTACAGCAACCTGGGCATCAATGAGCTGGAAGTTGGTACGTCAAAACAACCAGACCTCGGTGGCTGCTGGCCACACCATGGTCACTGATGGGTGTTCTGCTGTGCTCGCAGGGCTCAATCATCTTCGTCAGCAGGAGGACCGCTCCGATGCCGCCTATCACAAACTTCTTCACGTGAACGCCCCCGTCTTTGTGGGCGTCTTTTCTGTGCGTGGTGCGCCGGCTGTTCTGCGCCTCATGCTCACATTGCAGTTTCTCATTCTTGCCATTTGTGCCACCTCTGAATGATGGTGTGCAGGCTTTATCCGACGTGCATGAAGCCATTGCCAGTCACAAACGCCGCTACAATGTCACGAAAATCACCGACAACGTGGACAAGGTCTTGATCGATCTTGAGCAGACGACTCACGAGCTCTTTGACCCCCTGCTGGAGCGACAAGATGCGGCTGCTAGTAATCGTCACGCCCTCAACATGATTGCCACCAGTCGCTTCCTCTTCAATCTGCCCGCAAGCGTGCGCAATGGCATCGAGAACGAGAATTGGTCTTCGGTCATTCAGGACTATCGCAAAGCGCGTCAGCTTTTCGGAACGTCGTCCTTTTCCATTTTCAAGAAGGTAAAGTGTGTGTGTGTGTGTGTGTGTGTGTGTGTGTGTGTGTGTGTGTGTGTGTGTGTGATTTGGTATCCGTATGTGAACACGACTTATGTATGGGATGGATTGCGCCAAATCATCGACTTTTTGGGCGATACCGCAGATCATGGCCCATGTTGAAGAGATTATGCAAGACGTCGAGGCGCGACTCTATGCACAGTTGGGAGACCCTCAGACCTCGCTGGCTAGTAAGGAACTGTTGGTTGAGTACATCAAAGTGTTGCGTCCAGAGAGCGAACCGGCCTGGTACTGCGTGGAAAAGCTGCACGAACATTTGCAACATCTCCTCGACCATCACTCGACACGCCTTGAAGCCGTTTTAGACGAGGTGACTGGCCGCGTCCTGTTCAAACGCCTCTCTTTCTTCAAAAAATGTGACCACAAGCTATTTCTCTTTGCTCATTTCCTGTCTCCCAACTTGATCTTTGACAGTCCGAGAGACACACTAACGTCAAACGCCGTTGGTCTCAACTTAAAGCAGCCGTTTCAGTTGGCTCCCGCCGTCGTGCAAGCGGCACAGATTTCCTATTATGGAAGTACGTTCTTTTATTTTTGACTATTGGGAACCTTTTTTTGTTTGACTCTGACAGGCGCTTGCATCACACCAACGATCAGGACCTCGATGAATGGCAGCAATTCCTCCTCGAAGCGATCCTCGCGGTATTCAAGCGTATCTTCCTGGCGCACCTCTGTAACATCGATGCGGCAGTCCGTCACTGACTCTGCCTTCGCCCCGGAAGACGAGAAGGTAGTATTGCACAGTTGAATGAATGCGTGGCGTTGTCACAAATGCGTCCTGGCCTTATGTTCAGCGTGTGGTGTCCCGTTACTCCACTTTTCCACACGCTACTTTTAAACTTGTCGACGGCTTCCTCTTCCCCTCATCTTGGCTTTGTTAGGCCCCAACGCAGCCTGCTCAGATTGAATTTGTGGAGAACATCTGTCGCGTGTTCATTGAACAGTTACCTGCATTGTGGAACCTGAGCAATCGTTACTATCCCGACAGCAGCGCCACGGGCTTTGCTTCGCGAGAGCCGGCCAATTCGACCCCCTCTGGCATGCGCCGTCGCCGCTCACGGTATGTTGATGGTAACCTGTGCTCATTGCTCTTTTTCTTTTTTCAGCTCACCCTTTCCTTCTTGGGCTCGGCGTGGTCACTTGGATGGTCGTGTCAACCGCCTAGTCGGCGCTCAACCATGTTCAGTGATGTTTCCAATGATGAAGATCGTTCCGAGGAGGAGGTTCGCAACCAACATCACCGTCTTGAGCTCATCAAGTTTGTGACAGAAGATGTAACAAAGTTCTGTGAGCTCTTGGACACGCGATTTATCGAGGCCTGTACTTCCTCCCGCTTTGATGCTGCACAAGCACGTGCCTCGCTACCCACCATGATTAACACACTCAGGTCAGTGGGCATGCAGACTCTTGCAAGAAAACACCGTTTATGTGTCTATGGTCTCAAACGTAGTTTATGGACTGCCATAGCGGGTGCTATCGTGTTGCTTCTGCATTGGCCCTGCCTCGAGTTTCGCTACGTCAATTGGAGAAGTCTGTGACCAAGGTGTACCTCTGGGCCATTGGGGTGTCATTTCAGGTGGCCGAAGAAGGTAGGAACCTTTTTTTCCCCCCCTTTTTTTGAGAAAAATTGCTATTGTCGTGATGTTTGGTTGTGGGTGGGTTTGCAAAACTTGCCTTGATTTTAAGCTAGTGCTCACATGGTCTGTGGCGGCAGACATTGCTTCGCTGGGTCTACAAGAAACCTGGGTCCCTATGCCCACGTGCGACCATACAGCCTTGCCGGAGCGGTTTGCCAAGATTATGGGCGGAACTCTCCAAACTCTGCAACTCTACGGCTCGGGGCAAAACGCCGTGACATTGGGCGAGCTGGCTGCAGACATCGAGCACCTCATGTGTTCCTGTTTGCTCAAGTTTCACGCCTGTCTGGAAGGATTGGTTTTTGCAGATGCATTGCTCAAGATCGATGATCTTGATACCGAGGTTGCAGGCGAGTCCGTACGCGGACTGCCCACCGATAGCGCCGCCCGTTCCATTCGCCATCGGCTGCTCTGTGTCTTGGCCAACGCGGCGTATACACGTGATTCCGTGGCGCGTGTGCTCATGGAACAATATGACACACTCAAGCTGGATCTAACGGCCATTTATGATGTGCGTGCTTTAATCTTTCGCGTGCTCTCATGTTTTCGTACTACGGCGGTCGAATGAGCGGAGCAAGCTCATGCTTGAAGCTGTCTTGCACCCAATGATCTAATAGGCGACCATGGGGCGGTTCAGCGAGCTGCAAAGCCAAGTTCAAGAGGCTTTTGTGGAGCAAGTGACACAGAGCGTCTCGGCAGCGCTAGAAGATGGATTGCAACAGCTACTGCTGCCCAACGCCTATCGCCCACGCAGCTACGTGAATCTCATCCTGTTTGAACTGGTTTGCTGGCATGGCATTATCTTTGAAACAGCCCGCACGTGAGTACAGCACACTGCGTTGGCCACCATGGCTCATGGCTCGGTGATTGCAAAAAGTGCAAAACACATGGTCACATGCGTTTTTGTGCAGCGACAATTTCTGATACGGTCTCATGGTTTTTTCGACTGCTCTGTTTCGGATATCAATTTTCTTCTCTTTTTTTTATTTTTTTTTTTTTTATTTATTCCTCCTTCCGATCTGTTTATAGATTTGTCGACCGGTTGCTTGCTGCGCTGACACAGGCGCTAGCTCGCCAAGTACTGGTGGCGCTCGACCACGCAGAGCTTACCGCAGGGCGAGTGGGCGAACAGGTATTGCTTGAGCTGCTTGTTTTCAAGGATGTCTTGTCGCCGTATGATCGGGAACCATCCGTGTGGATTCCTTGCTTCAACCGCCTGCAAGCACGCTGCGCCAACGCCGCCCCGCGTGCTGCGCCGGGCTCCAGCTCGAGCACGGGATCGAGTGGACGACGCGCTCTGCCCCAGCCAGGCATGCAAACTCGCCGCCGCATGCCATCTGTCCCTGGCTCGAGCGCAGGCCGTGGCAAAGCACTGGACTGGCAGCAGCCACCACCGTAAGTATTTCATTCGCTCGCCTCATTACGCCCCACCTTGGCCCCAAGCCACTGTTGCTGATTTTCTCATTACAACCTGGTGACATATCTCCTTCTCATTCTGCAGGGCGGTGGCTGAAGCGTTGACAACCTTCCGGGCAGAAAACGCCTTGATGTTGCTGTGTTTTGAGGACGCACGAATTCCAGAAGACGTCGATTCATCCGACGTGGAAGTGTAGACGCGAAGCAAAGATATCGTCAGCGCGTACATGGAGTTTTGCAGAGCAAAGTCTATGAAATTGATAAATGCATGGCGCGTCATGTCAATATTGCACATCGTATTCTGAGACCCGCAACGCCTGCCAAATCCTCGTTTGAATCTTTTTTTTTTTTTTTTTTTTTTTTTTTTTTGCTGATAAATTTGTCTGACATTCCCAACAATGAGAAGAGAAAATAACGCGCATCATCAGCTTTGCGCGTCGTCATTCACACTTCTTCTTCTTCTTCTTGCTTGAAACAATTGAAGGCATAAGGCATAAGGCAAAAGGCATAAAGCAAAAGCTTGTGTAGCCCATCAAAGGGGGGAAGGAAGAAGGGTTGCGCGGTTACAGTTCATCGAATGGTTTATTTTTGACATCTTGATTGTGTGTGTGTGGAGTGGTGCGCGCCGAGGTCCCCCCGCTGCTTGCCTTGCCTCCACCACCGGGTCCTGCCTTGGCGACTTGTGTCTCGACCTGCATATCCTGCTGAGCTCTGTGGCGCTTGTTGTCCGCCACCGGCTGCACTTGTGGATCTGGCTGCCTTTTGTATTGACAGCCATTTTCTCCGCCCCCTTTTTTTGCAGGCTGGGCCTCGAACAGTGTTGACGAGCGGCCCCTTGTCATGCGCCCGTTCGCAGCTCATTCGCTCTGAACCCGTGTCAATCCCCAAGTCTGCGATTCCGCAGAAGTCTTTTTTGCCTGTGAAGGCCCCGAATCTGGGAGACGACGTAATGCGCGCCCTTGTGCTCGCCCTACTCCTCACTTGCCGGGCCATAAAGGCGCAATGGATTGCAGGTGGTAGCCCGACCATGTACTGCGAATCTCCTGAAGTTTATGGTGGGGTTCGCATTCATCTCGCAGGATACAACGCGTCCTTGGCACCTAGCATCACGAACCAATACTACGCCAACTACAATGCGTTTTTTGATTATGACAACTATCTGCAACAAGCAGGCAACATTGGAGACTCGACTTGGTCATCACCCATATTGTCTCTGAGCGACGTGCGCGGCGTGGCCCTGGAAGGCAACGTATCTGCCATCACAGTCTCTATCAAGTTCGCCGCACCCGGATCAGGATATGATCAGCCTGATTATTTTCGTGTCACCCTTGTATTTCTGGGCGGTGAGCAGCAGAATTTGGAAACTAGTGATGTCCTGTATGTCACTGGAGCACCTTCTGGTGGCATTATTACTATGCAGACGCCTATCAACGGCTTGGAGCTGGGGGTGGACCGGAACTCGAATGTGCTCAATTTGACGAGTACCTTTCCGCTTCATGCCGACACCGAGTTTATGAGGGTGGATTATGACTATGGTACAACGCATCGAGATGAGTACTTTCTGTTTGGCGATCTTGTCGTACTAGGCTGTGACACAGGCGCCGATTGTGATCAGTGTCCTGAGGGGTCGGAGCTTAACGCCGAGCGCAGTGGCTGTGACACTTGCGCTGCTGGTAGCTATCGCTCGGCTGGAATGAACGAGTGTGCCGTGTGCGCGGACGGCACCGAGCCGTCAGGTGACCAAGCGTCGTGCGTGTCGTGTACAGGAGCCGAATATCGCGATGCGTCGAGCATGAACGAGTGTGCGGCCTGCCCCTTGGGGTCAGACCCCAACTCGGAGCGCAGTGGCTGTGACACGTGTGCGGCTGGTAGCTATCGCTCGGCTGGAATGAGCGCATGTGTCGTATGTGCGGATGGCACGGAGCCGTCAGGAAATCAAGCGTCGTGTGTGCCGTGTACAGGAGCCGACTATCGAGACGCGTCAAGCATGAGCGAGTGTGTAGCTTGCCCTGTGGGCCTCGCGCCCAATGCTAATCGCAGTCGCTGCTTGGGTCAGTGGGTCCCACGAACACATCTTGTCCCGTTATCCGTAGACAGCTTTCTCCCAGCGCATCCCTTACCGGCCCTGCTCGTGCATCAACCTTTGTCTTTAGATTCAATTGCGCCTCATATCTATCTGTCCAATCGCTCGCGGCTGTCTTTGATAAAAAACGACACATATTTGGAGTATCTGGACGTTCAAGAGCTCTCGCCTAACTCGGCCTACGAGTTGCCCAGCGTCGAATCAGTGGATGACAACTTCGATGTGATTCAGCAAGATACTGTTGTTGTTCCATTGGCTAGCAACGTTACCCTGGGTATGTCTCGTTTCGCACCAAGCTTGATGCATATTCTTTCCTGAAGAGGGATTTGTTTTGTCCTTTTATTTCCTTTCCAATCATTTGTTCTTGTCAGCCGATCGTCTGGCCGGGACCCTGGTGAGGTGTGTGGGAGGGAACCTTTTGTTCTAGGTCGTCGCACTCACGCGCTTGCCTCTGCTGTAATTTACCTGCCCTCATGCAACTCGGTAGACATTCTGGGTAATTATACAATCACGTTCCGAGTCAATGATACAGCTGGCAATGAAGGTCAAACCACAGTCGTTGTTCAGGTTCAGGACACAACGCCCCCTACGTTGTTCCTTCAAGGCGGTGCCCGCGTAACGGTGCCATTTGCCACTGCCTACCGAGAACCAGGTTACACCGTTATGGACAACTCGGCTTCCCACGTGGCTGTTAATCTTAGCGGTGTCGTGAACGTGTTTGTGCCTGGAAGCTACGTCCGAGTTTATCAAGCCACCGACGCGTCCCACAACACACAGTCTCAAACGCGAGACATTGTCGTCGCAGCCAATACGCTCCCTGAAGATGCTTATGTTGTCCGGCTTACGCTGACCCTCTCCATTGATTTTGATGCGCGCGTCATTGCAGCGCAAATGAGCTCAAGTGGTGCATTTGGTGACGACTATCCGGTGCCTTTTGAGCCATCAAGCTTGGGTCGCCGCCGGGCCCTGACGTCGACATTTGGTTTTGGGGTACGCCGAAACAACTCGAATTTTGACTGGATTGATGCGGATGATGTGCTGGCTCGCCTGACCCCAGAGATGATGTCCGAGCTTGGCTTGGCATTGGGTTCCTCGGTACAGAGCGCGGTGGCCGCTGATGCATCTTCGAGCGAGAGTAATTCGCTCGTTGTGATTGCAGCTGCGGCAGGAGGTGGCGCCGTGCTCCTGATAGTGCTTGTCATCGTGGTTGTGCGGCGCCGAAAAGGCCACCAAGCCACAAAGACGGCCCCCGAAGACAGCACGTACGCCATGGTTGACGTGGATGTGCGTCGCGGCAAAGTGGGCTCATTGAATAACAAAAGTAGCGGCAAGAGCTCGCGCTTTTCGCAGTATTCGGCGGCCGACGAGCCCCTCCCACATTTTGATGACGAGAACATCACTGAAACGCCTCAGGCCGTGCTCGACTTGTATGCCGTGCCCAATAAGAAGGGGTCGGGACGCGGCACTACAGCGTCTTCGATCATCCCTTCAGTGGCCAATGGCATGCTCTACGAGACGCTGGGCGATGACTCTGACGCCCGCTCTTCCGTCACCCAAGTTGAGATGCTTCAAAGCGAGTATGCAGACGTGGACGCTAGCACGTATGACACGCTTCCGAACCGGCGTACGACAGCCAACAACGGGTTGAGCGAGTATGCCGATGTCGATGCCCCCTCTACGTTCGTGCCACAAGACGCGGACGACCAACCAAATGCGACTTCTCAGGACGTATACGATCAGCCAAATGCCACCGACACCCTGGGTGTGCAGCATTCACAACAAGTTTATGACCAACCGAATGCCGTCTCGCACGACTTGTATGATCAGCCCAACGCCACAGATCAACAGAGTCAAAGGGCGCCTCCAACGAATCAATTGACTTCCATGTATGAGGATTTAGACGATGCCATTGCGGCCAAGGATGCCTTGACAGCCCAGGATCAAGGTGTGTATGATCAGCCCAATGCCGTGGGGTTAGATGGGCCTGGTGACACGCGTCGCCCAACTACCTTTGGTAAAGATCGGGCTGTGTCAGCTGATCGAGTGGCAGCGCATGCCGGTGCGCCCGCCCCGGCTGGCCTGACCATCACATCGGCGACCGCAGCGTCACTCGCCCCCGCACAGAAGTTTCCATGGCTTCATGAGGGCTTATCTCGACAGGAGGCCGAAGCGCTTTTGTCGCAATTTGTGGATTCTGACGGCACTTACCTGGTTCGGGACCGTGCCCAGGATTCATACGCTTTAAGTATGATTTTCAATCGTGCCATTTCGCACCATCTTTTGAAGAAGGACGGCTCTGGCTTCTGGCTTGTCAATGAGATCAAATATGAGCCTGCCTGCACCGAGCTAGGTTCCTTGATCATGCAGCTGCGCACCCGAGCGGGTCATCTCATGCCAGCACCCATATCCAACTTTATCGCAGCAGACACTGACGCTTAGTGGCATGTGCTGCTTGGTTGCGCATCCGAGATTCACATGTCAATACCATTGTACCGACGCTGAGTAGCCGGCCTGGAGTTTTGGAGGAAGTGAGAACCATTTCATTGTCACACGTGCCTGTTTGCTGAATGCGCGTGGCCTGATGTGGGCCAAGACGACGCACACGACTGCACAAAGAGTGCTGATTTGACTTGGGCGTTTTTTTCGCTTTCGTGTCGTGCCATATATCTCCCCTCTTTTGTTCTTGAACGATACCCTTTTCTTCATGTTAATATTCATTCCTATCCAAATTGACTTTCACAAGCAAGACATTCAAGGGGTTCCAGCATGGCACATGACCGATTTTTCAATTTCAACGTGAAAGCTTCAAAAAAGAATAAAACCAATAAAGAATCTTAGGAAGCAAAAGAGAAGGAGAAAGTTCCTTGTGGAGTTGGCGTGTCCTTTGTGGAGTCACAGTCCTTTTGGGGAGCATGTGAGGCTGTACTCCCGATTTCGGGGGAATTATTGACATTGGGCAACGGAGCGTTCCACTGAGACCAAAGTGATGTCTTTGCGCGTTTCGGGCACTGTGTCAGAATGTGGGGCTGCTGTTGCTGTAAAGCCGTGCGAAAACGGGTGTGAAGATCTGGAGGCCCAGCGTGGTTCATGTAGGCTGGAATGCCAGAAGCAAGGAAGTCCAGCGAGGCCGGCAGATTGGCCTCGCTAACATAGTTTTGAGTGACCGCCACCGTGACCTCAAGGTTGAGGACGAGGTGCCACCAGCCGGCGGGGATGAACACAGTTTCGCCAGGTTGGCAAATGGTCTCAACGGCATGCATGCTCAGATCGCTATCTTCATGCAGTTGCTCGTAGTATTCTTCAAACCAGGCAGTCACGTTGTCAGCCTGAAGAACACGGCAGCCGTCCTCACTTATGGCAACACCGGGTGGGAGAATGTCCGGGGGGAACAAGAGCCAAAGTTTGCGACCAATGACTACGGTGTTCCAAGCTGCGGTGTAATTTGGGTCCACATGAAAGTTGGTGCCTGATCCAGGAGGTCCAACTAAAAGCCACCTGAAAAGGGCGAAATGGTGGTCCGGGGAGGGGGATAAGGGCATAGCGAGGAGTGTTGGGGGCCGTATTGCAGCGGAGGCAAACGTACCGGTAATCTGGCCGTAAGGTTTCACCCAGGACTGCCATGAGGTCTTGGTCAAACAGGGTCGGGGGTGACCAAGACTCGGTCAAGGCAGGCAGTTTGGCGAGCGTATTGAAGGTACTCTTGCAGGGTGAGCTGAACGCTACCTTGGAATTCATCAAAGGCGTCCAGGCGCACAGAGCCACAGGCTTGCGTCAGCGCATGGAGAGAGCTCCAGGGACCTTCTTTGGCGTGTACCCAAGGAGCAGCGCCACGAATCAAGCATGGCCGGGAGGCATGTTCGTAAGTGGCCCGAAATTGCTCAGGCGTAACCGCATCGGCCTGGATGATGGTCATGTTATTACGGCGGCCGCCACCAAGATTTTGAGCAAGTGTGGCAGCACTACGTGCAGATGCTGTGGCGTATAGCGCGTCTGAGTAGACGTGCGGGCAGAGCAAGGGGATATGGCGAATGGCTAGACCAAGGACGTTGTGGGTGTAGGTTTCTTTCCACGAGCCTCGGAACTGGAAACCGTGGGGGCAAGCTCGGATGACAAAGGCCTTCCACAGGTCAGGGGCATGGGCAAACGCATAAAGAGAGCGGCTGGTCTGTGCGACGCAGGCCAGACTGCGTGGATCCAAGCGACTGAGGATGTCAAGCAGGAGCTCGTGAGGAAGCAGGGCCAAGAGGCCCAACCCAGCTTGTGCCTGTCCAATCGCCTTGCGGTCGATGGTCGTGAGCAAATTCCCCTCTGGCTGAACGCCATAGGGATGGCCTGCCATGACACTGTTGTCCATCAAAACACCGCCTTGCTCCCCCTGCTTTGTATTCTTTCCCCTCAACGGTGTCCTCCGGCCTGGTCCTGACCGGCTCGTGTTCCGTGCCTCCGGCCCCTCCGCCTCTCCTCTCCTCTCCTCTCCGCGCGCCGCGTGGGGCAGTGGCGGCGGCGATGCTGACAAAGCCGTCGCTCCACACAATTGTCAGCACAACAAATGGAATAGCTGTTGTAAACAGATGGGACTTGAGGACGACTGTTTTGTACAGCTGTTCATAACTTTTGTTTTGTGTTGATGTTTGATGATATCTCCACTCGCGTGTTTACGGTTCCTTGATCGTGGCACGGGTACACTGACTTATATACGCTTCTTATAGGGTTATTGTATCTGACAACACGATAACTTGTTTAAAACTATATGATCATTATCAGGTTATCGTTGTGTTTGATGTTTTTGTTTGAGCGGTTTGTTTGCCTTGCGATCAGAGACAGAGAGACAGAGTGAGAGAGAGAGAGAGAGAGACAGAGAGAGACAGAGAGAGAGAGAGAGAGAGAAAAAAAAAAGAGAGAGAGGTGTTGAGTTTTTTTTCGCCGCCATCGCCTTGGCACCTCTTGCACCTCTTGCACCTCTTTGGACTTGGTGCAGGGACCCGTCGCCATGCGTGCTGTTGTCGCGGGTGTCTTGTTGCTGTTGGCCTCGGCCTCGGCCAAGGTGGGGGCTTCTTGGATGGCTTTGTTACATCTGACATGGGATGAGCTAGGTTTTGCTGTCATTTGGATGGCTGCCGTTGCCACTAAGAGTTTACGTCACCAGAAGCGTGCGGCGTGCTTGCCGGCTGCGCGCCTTGATTCCTATTCTCACTCTCATTCTCATCGCTAGAACACCTTTTCCCCTTACTGGGGTGAGTACAAGACCTCTTCCGGTCCTGTGGAGGGCAAGATCAACGTTCATCTTGTGCCCCACACCCACGGTGAGTGCGACAACCATCGGCCGTTGTAGAATGGCCTTGTGCTCTTCTTGCTGGGTTTGCTTCTGCTACAGTCGATCTCTTGCGGACTGCACTGATCGAGTTGCTTGTAGATGATACCGGTTGGCTCATTACCGTGGATCAGTACTTTTACCAGCGTGTGAGCTACATCATCTCCACTGTCATGGTCAAGTGAGTGCGGCATCTCAGTGGTTTTGAGCCATGAATCATAGCGATAAAACTGCTCGCTTTTTTCACCGAAGAACTTGACCCATACTTGCCCAAATGTTTTAGCCTCGAGGCCAACCCGGATCGCAAGTTCATCTGTATGTTCTGCCGTTAAGCCTCGCTCGTGCCGCTTGGTCATTATGGCTAGCGCTCATGCACCCCGAAACGCCTGTTCTCTGTGGATCGCTTCGCTTAGATGTCGAAACTGGCTTTTTCGAGCGCTGGTGGGTCGAGCAGGACAATGCCACTCAAGCTCGCTTCAACCGCCTGGTGCAAAACGGTCAACTCGAGTTTATCAACGGTGGTATGTAGGCTGCACCCGCAGTCCAACCAAGTGTCGCCGCCGCCGCATGCTCCAAGGGCGGAATGGTTGTTGCCTCATCTTTCGTCTGTGGCCTTGGTCCAATCTTGATCGACTGGTTGCTTGTTCTCCCTCGCCGACGTATACTCATGGCGCTGTGGCTACACAACATGATCAATCAGGCTGGGTACGTCTCAATCGTACCATGTGTCTCTCATCAACTAGCAGACAAAAACCACCCCCTCCCGCCCTTTGCGTCATTGTCTGCCTCGCCACAATTACCTGACGTTGTGTATGTGACCTTTTTGCACTGCATTCCCTCATGTATAGTGCATGCACGACGAAGCCTCGCCAACTTACGTGGAAATGACTGAGAACACCGGTCGTGGTCATCTCTTTCTCAAAAAGTACTTTAACATTGCCCCCAAGGGCACCTGGCAGATTGACCCCTTCGGCCACACTAACACCCAAGGCTGGCTCATGGGCCAATATTCTGGCTTCCAGTTCCTTTGTGCGTCATCATTGAAGCTACTTGCACGCCTTATCGCCTGCCCCGTTTCATCGCCCACACGCCTCACACATCTGTGCCTGGTGTAGACTTTGGCCGCATGGACTACCAAGACTTTGCCATGCGTAAGAATTTGACGACCATGGCTGCCGAGGGCGTCCCCCGCTCCCTCGAATGGGTTTGGCAAGGTGCCGACACTTTTGGATCTCAGTACCAGACCTTCACTGGCGAGCTCTACGGTGGTGGTGGCGGCGGCTACGGTGCCCCCAACAACATGGGCTTTGACAGCACCGACAACACCCAGGTTCAGGACGATCCTCGCCTCATGGATTACAATATCGACCAATTTGTCGAGGAGTTTATCGCCGATGCCGTGGACCAGGCCCAGCACATGCGCACCAACCACGTTCTTTATGGTACGCCCTTTTTTTCCGCATATGCATCACCTCAGTCCCAACGGATGCTTCCTCACCCCTGCTTGCTTGGATCTACATGTCTGATTTGCTTGTCTTGACTTGTCTGCAGCCATGGGTAGCGATTTCAACTACGTCAACGCCCTGCTCTGGTACAACAACATGGACAAGTTGATTCACCACGTCAACAAGAACGGAACGGTCAACGCCTTCTACTCCACTCCCAGCATCTACACCCAGGCCAAGTTCGATGCAAACGAGACCTGGGAGGCGCGCTACGACGATATCATGCCCTTGGCCGATAATGCCCACCACTATTGGACTGGCTATTTCACTTCACGTCAGAGCCTGAAAAAGTATCTGCGTGTCCTCACCAACGTGCTCAACGCGGCTCGTCAGCTGGCCATGCTGACAGAGACAGATACCTGCACCTCGACCTCCTACTCGCAAACCGTCTGCACTGACAACCTTGAAGCCGCCCTGGCCGTCACCACCCACCAGTGCGTCGTATTGCTTCTGAACTTTTGGCCCTTGTTACACCTTTTCTCGCGCTTGAGCGTGCGCCGCGCCTCACTTGCCCTTGGTCTCACCCAATACGCCTGCCTATTCCAGCGATGGTCTGTCTGGTACGGAAAAGCAAGCAGTCGCCGATGACTATGCTTTGCGCATGTCCATTGGCGAGACGGAGACGCGCAAAATGATGGCCCAGGTCTTGGAAAAGGCCGTGGGTCTGGACAAGCCTGAATTTTGCTACGGCACCCCGGCGCTTAACATCTCCTTCTGTGCCTTTACTGCCGATCGCGATGCCTTCACCGTGTTTGCGTACAACCCTCAGGGTCGCCCTGCCTCTCAGGTCAGTTTGGAGTTGGAACGCCTTTTTTTTTTTTCCCTTCTCTCCCTTCATTTTTTATGGATTTGTTTGTTGATTGATTTGGTGGGCGTCATGGAACGCGGAGACTGTTCACCAACATCTTGGCGTACTGTTCCGACTTCATGATGTCAATTTTTCGATTGGTGGTAGGTGCTGCGTGTGCCCATCAAGGGCAGCACCGCTAGCGTGACGGGCCCCGAAGGTCAAACTGTGGAGTCACAAGTCATCGCCATCGATGCCCGTGAGCGGGAGCTCTCCAAGCTTTATCTGCAGTTTAACGAGATGAACGACACCTCTCGCGTGGGCGAGTTGACAAACAATGCCACCCACGTTGTCACCTTTGTTGCTGACTTGCCCATCATGGGTTGGAATACGTACCAGGTGAAGGTTGGCGGTTCAGATGCCTCTTCGCATACGACCTCCTACAACCGCCGTGTCAATGAGCCCATCACCATCAGCAACGACCTCTATTCCGTCTCCGTTGGCTCCACAGATGCACTCGTGGCCGAGGTAGGTCCTTTCGTCCTGTGCCTCGGCGTTTTCGCCCATCTCCATATTGGGCCGTGTTCTGGCTTTGTGTAGCCCTTTTTCTGAATTGCACCCATGGTCGGTAGGTGACCAACCTCAAGTCGGGCGTCAAGTCAACCATTGGCATTGACATTGGCTTTTACAACAGCTCCGTGGGTGGCTGCACCGCCGGAGTTGGCACCTGGGAGCTCAACGAGAAGCTTGGCAAGGCTCCCAAGAACCCCTTGAACCGCGACCGTCGTGAGGAGTTTGAGGATGGTATGGAAGAGCCCGTGGACCTCGAGGACGACTCGTTTGCCTGTGATGGCCAAAAGTCTGGTGCCTACATCTTCCGCCCCAACACAACCAACGTGTGGCCTGCAGCCTGCACCGAGGGTGATTGCAACCGCGCGCCTACCTTCACCTCTTCGGTACGATGGCCAGCCGGCCAACCTTTTCTCGACCGCTGACTTTATCTTCTCGTGGACATGCCCCTCTCTTTGCCTTGCTTCCTTTTTTCTGTTTCATGGCTCAATCTCACCCTCTCTCAACACCGCGTGCTAGACGGGCGAGCTCGTATCTGAGATTTACGTGACGTACGCCAGCTGGGCGACGCTGGTGCTGCGTCTTGTCAAGGGCGAGGCTCGTGTGGAAGTCGACTACACTGTGGGCCCCATCCCCCAGGAAAGCTTTGAGGGTGGCTCTCCCTACCTGCAGGGCAAGGAGATTGTCCTCCGCTACAACTCTTCCCTTCACACGAACGGCACCCTCTACCATGACTCGAACGCACGCGAGATGATTGAGCGCAAGTACAACCTGCGTGGTCCCACCTACCCCTCTCCTTACCAGATCTCGGAACCCGTTGCTGGTAACTATTATCCCGTCAACGCCCTTCTGGCCCTTGAGGACAAGGCTGCCAACATTGGGCTCTCCATCGCCATGGATCGCTCCATGGGCGGCGCTTCGCTGGCCGATGGCAGCATGGAGTTGATGGTGCACCGTCGTACGCAAGACGATGACTCGCGTGGTGTCGGCCAACCCATGAATGAGACCATGTGCGGCTGCCGCGACCAGGACCCCAACAACATTGGCCAATGCGGCTGTGCTGGTCTTACCATCAAGGTGAGTCGTTGGAAACGACCTCATAGCAACATGATTAGAAAGAGGGAGGGAGGAAGGGAGGGAGAAGAAAAGCAAACAGTGCAGAAAACTTTGGGAGCACACGAAGAAAGGAGCGAAAGAAATTGGCGAGATACACCCCACGGTTCATCATTCGAGGTGAAGGGCAAAGGGCTGTCGTGCCGTCCGGACTGTCCGAATCGATTCACCCACAATTCCTTGCTTGCTCCATCTGCGTTGCATATGCTGAACCCTAGGGCACCAACTGGTTGTATCTGGACACGATTCCCAACACCAACGCTGCCCGCCGCGCTGGCTTCGAAGACCTCAACTTTGGTCCCATTGTTGCGTTCTCCGAGTCCAAGCCCACCAAGCCCACCTTCACCGGCCTCTCTGCGGCCCTCCCTGACAATGTCAAGCTCATGACCTTTGGTGTCGTCTCTCCCCAGTACAACGATGAGGTGTTCCTTCGCTTGAGCCACATCTTCCAGGCCAACGAGCACCCAACGCTGAGCCAGAACGTCAACGTGTCCCTTACCCACGTTTTTGCCAAGGCTGGCCTGAAGGTATCGCATGCGTGCCGTTGAACTGTGTGCCAACCGCAACCTTTCGCCTGCGTCGCTTCATTGGCTTGGCCACTCATGCGGCTCTCGTGCTTTTGTGCGTGTACGTACCATCAGATTACTTCCGCGACCGAGGTGTCGCTGACAGGCAATATGACGCCGCAAGAGCTCGAGGCGCGCCGCTACAAGTGGAAGGTGGCTGGCGAGACGGAGGCCATGCCGTCCAGTGGCGCATCGCTTGTGCCCGGCATGCGTCCCTTCGACGAGAAGGATGCATCTTTGACCGTTGAGCTTCGCCCCATGGACATTCGCACGTTCAAGGTGGTTATTGCCTAGATAGCGTGAGCTCCTTTCGACGCCTCATCGTTGCTCAAACGATGCAGCTTGAACTCTTGATCTGGACCCTTTGTTCTGTAGCTGCTTGTCTTGCCTGGGCTGATTGTTTCTTGTGTTCTCGAAATGAGAAACGCCCACGAGCATCTGTCCCAGTCGCCGTAGCGTTTACTTTTCTTATACCCGCTCCCAGAGCCAATCGGCCCAGATCTGCCAGCTGTTTGTGCAATTGAGCTTTTCACCGTATACATGACGTAGTATTTCTTCTTTTGCTAACACACACACACACACACACACACACACACACTTGAAGAAGCGATCGTGTGGAACAAGTGTGACGAGAATCGCACTTTACTTGACGTTGGTCACGTTGGCCAACAGCACTGACAGCATGGCTGCCGAATTGGAAGAGTGGGCCCTGCCCGTGGCCGATGGTGACGAGTCGTCTGCCATCTTTGCTGCCCTTGCCGGTTGGTAGTTGGCCTGGGTAGTCAGAGGAGGAAAGAAACTCTGGTGTCCTCATCCTTATGCTTGATCGTGCATGGCTAATCCGCTGGGTTGTGGCTGACACACAGAGACGGTCGAGGTTGAGCTGGAGGCGGCTGGGCGTTGGTTTGAGGAGCATGCTCGCATCATTCGTCTGAACCTTCCCGTGATGGAGGATGATGATGGCGACGACGACGACGATGACGACGACGATGACGATGTGGATGATGGCAAGGGCCGTGCAAGTCAAGGTGGAGGTACGGCGTGAGCATCAGGAGGATTGTCCCGCTCGCCCACACACCGCACCCGAGCCTTCAACCCCTCACCACCGATCCCCCGCTCGCTCTTTCCCCACGGTACGGTGTATGCAGATGACAACGACGATGATCTGGTTAACATTGCCGGTGAATGGAAGGTTAGTTCGCTCCATCAATTTCGCTTCTGCGCTACTTCCTTGGCCTGGATTGTGCCTTTGATCAGAGTCCAATCTCGCAACGGCTGCACGTAGGATCAAGATCACTACGCTCTTCTGGGCTTGGAGCAAACGCGCTGGCGTGCCACGGCCAATGATATCAAGAAGGCTTGTATGTTATCTCTCCAGGGTCTGCTTTGGAGGCGCTTGTGGCACGCATGAGGCAGGGTGTTCTCACATGACCGTGTCCTGTTGACAGACAAGAAAATGGTTCTGAAGCACCATCCCGACAAAAAGGGTGACCTCAGCGGTGCCGAGGCCAAGGCGGCCGATGAATACTTTGACCGCATCCAACGCGGTAAGCGCAGCAATGGATATCTATGCTCCCACAGTTTTGTGAAAGACCCGGCTGTTGTGCTCTTGTCGAGCGCTGTGGTGTGATGACCGTGCCTCCTGTTCTGTTTGGTTTTTGCCTTCTCTTCTCAACCATTTTTCTTCCTTGTACTTTTCCGGGCTGATGCACGTGTGACACCATCCTCTTAGCCTATGACCTGCTGTCCAACGAAAAGCAGCGTCGCATGTACGACTCCGTCGACGACGTTGATGACAGCGTGCCGGCTCCGTGCACGGATGAAGCTCGCTTCTATGAGACCTTTGGTCCGGCCTTTGAACGCAACGCGCGGTACGATTTGACATGACATCCTAGCAATGTTCCTTCTTGCATCACATCTTGCCTTCAATTTTTGATTGGGGTCCCATACCCCTTCTGCGGCTTCATTCTCAATTCATCACCTGGGGTGGCGCTTTTTTTTTTCTTCTCTTTCTTCTTCTTTCCAGGTGGTTTGCGACGCAGCCCGTGCCCCAACTTGGCTCCCCGGATACCAAGTTTGAGGACGTGGAGCACTTTTACCACTTTTGGTATCACCAAAAGACCTGGCGAGAGTTTGGATACGATGACGTACGCTCAACATGCTGACCTCGGCTTTGAACTAACCGTGGCACGCTCGCGTGCCTCGCCTCACAAGGAGCATCGTGGATAGGACGAAGATCCCAGCAAGGCTGACAGTCGTGAGGAGCGACGTTGGATGGAGAAACAGCTTCGCGCGCGCCGCAAGAAACGCAAGAAAGAGGAAAACGCCCGCATGCTGAAGCTGGTGGACCACGCCTACAGCTCGGACCCTCGCATCCGCGCGTACGTCGGTCAATACATGCTTGCTTTTTCATATCCCACTTCAACGACTTCCCTCTTCTCATGTGCATCTCATTTCACGCATTGGCGCAACAGGCGACGTGAACAAGCAAAAAAGGAAAAGCTTGCGCGCAAGAACGCGCAGGCCGAAGCCCGTCGCAAGCAGGCAGAGGAGCGGGAACGCGTCGAACGCGAGGCCCGTGAAGCCAAGGAAGCGGCCGAACAAGCTGCCCGCGAGGAAGAGAAGCGCAAGAACGAGGAACACAAGAAGGCGCGCCGCAACTTGACCAAGGCGTGCCGTGACTTGGGCTTGTACGACACTGAGGTGTGTTATCAAGGCGGACCACAGTCCTACCTGTCGCGCCGTCATGCTCTCTGGCCCTGCCCGCGCCCCTCCGACTTCTATTCTGATGAGTGTTATGCCAATAGAACCCTGCCACCACAGAGAAGGCCGAGCGCGATGGTGTTCTCAGCCTGAAGGACATGGAGGACATTAAAACTTTGCCTGCCAAAGATCTCATCAAGCTTGCAGAGATTACCAATAAGGAGCAGATGCTCAAAACTTTCCGCAAGCTCTTGAGTGCTTTGCGTCAGAAGGGGTCGTCGGATTCCGACAAGACCGCTGGAAGTGAGGTATGTTTGAACTCTGCGCCGGAACTGCTTCTGCTGCGGTCGCTGGGCACAATATCGCCTCGTTCTGAAACGCACTCAACATTCAACATTCTTGCTCTGATCGTTGAAACCTCTAGCGCCCTTGGACGAAAGAAGAGCAGGCCTTGCTGGAGCAAGCCATCATCGAAGTCAAGGCCACTGCTAGCGACCGCTGGATTCAGGTAGAAGTCTTCATCAGCCACCACCTCGTCGTTGACGGAAAGATGCACAGCATTCACATGGCCATGTGTGCCTCTTGATTTGTTTTTCCACTTGTGCCATCATTTTACGATATAGATTGCTAAGCGTGTGCCCGGCCGCAAACCCAAGGAGGTGCTGCTTCGCATCAAGCAATGTCGTGAGCAGGCACAGAAGCAAGCTTTCAAGGTGAGGCACGGCAGTTTGTCGCAAGTCATCTATTGAGCTTTTTTTTTTACCTCAACTCATCTGCTGTCCCTCGTTATGCTTTGTGGGCGCAGGCGCCTGCTGAATGGCTCGAAGAGGAAGAGGTTGTTGCCAAGAAGGCTGCCAGCCGCGTGCATCCTCCAGGCACCCAGGGTGATCGTTGGGGCATGATCGCGCAATACGTCAAGGCACATGCGCGCACCCCTTGGTTGCGTAGTAACAAGGTGCGTGCCAAGCCTTCGGGCAAGGCTTTTGCCACTCGTGTTTTTCGTCGCCAAAGATGGCGTATTTTTTGCTGCACTCATATGTTCTGACCAATGATATGCTTTTCAAATTTGGGGCTCAGGATGTCATTGCCAAGGTGAACTCCATGAAGAACGTCCTGGGTGGGCTCAAGGCCAAGCAAGCAACTCGTGATGATTTTGCTCACTTCCAGAAGGTATGCTTGTGGGCTGCGGGGCCCGAATCAGAGCTTGCATCTGCTCTTTGCAAGACATGCTAGACACATATGTTTCCCCTCCATATGCGTCCGTTGTTCGTGCAAGTGTTGACATATTCGTCTTGAGGGCATTGGATGATCGGGTTTTTTTACTCGCTCTTTGCTTCATACTCATTTGGCAACCGTGCTTAACTCAGACCAATCTGAAGAACCCCACTCGCAACCGTGCCCGCGTGGAGCACATGAATGACCCCACCCTCAAGGATACGCGCGCTGATCTGCTGGCCCATTTGGATGATGACGCCAACTAAGCTTGTTGATTTGCTGCACGCACTAGCTAGCGCTTGTGCCAAACTGCACGGCCAGCACTCCAGCATATTCACAATGCCATGTCAATTGAACGAGCCTACCCTCCTCAAATTCCAGCACCGATGTCCATATCAAGCTTCTCTTTCTGTTCATGCCAACTTTTTCCTGTGCGGTATCCGTTTTTTGGCTGCATGTGTCTTTTGCATGCTTTTTGGGTCGTTGCACAATCACTTATGAAGCCAAACAGACTAGAAAGATTCTGAATTGGACAGAGCAGAGGGGAAGATTAAAAATGGTTGGTGTGCCAGGTTACTCAAAGAGATCATCAAGATCATTTGTTGCGGCTGGCGGTGCCGCTGCTTGTTTTTGTGCTGATTCTTCAGCTGCAATTTCACGAAGCAGCTCTTGCTCGATTTCATCCAGATCGTCACTCCCCGCGGCTTCGTTCGCACTTGAAGCCAATTTGTTTGCGGGGGCCGATTCGGCAGCAGCAGTAGAGTTGCCATCAAGATCAACGAGTGGGGCCTCGGCTGTGGTATCCACGCGTTCGGGCGCCTCGTCAGGTGGTGGAGAGGACGGCATCAGAGCTGCAGTTTTGATTTGTTGCGAGCGAGCAATGGCGTCCCGAAGTGCCGATTTGGCCTCGGCGGCCTGCGGAACCAGGTAGCGCTCCCGCAATTCAGTATTGTCGGGATTGCTCACGTCAAATGATTCCTGATAGACAAAACTGAGTAAAGTTGGATACTTCTTCTTTGCCGTGATGCGCACGATGGATGTCAGTGCTCGCCGCCACATGATGGCAGCTCGAATGACAGAGTTGCTAGACTGAATGGCCCGCAGCTGGCACCCAAAAAGAAACCAAGGAGCGCCTGTTAGCTCGATATCATTTCCACAGAGGCCTTCAAACCACAAGAGAGTCCCCCACCTTGAGAATGTGAAACTCAGTAAGGATCAACCATGAAGGGTAGATGAGATCGCCCACGACCTCGTTGCACTGAAAAATGGTGTGCTGAGGAGCAGCCGCCTCCAGCTTGCTGACGTCCACAATCAGCTGACCTGCAATCCAAAATGCCCGTTGTTCAGCTTTTCAATGACTTGAACCACGCATTGACTCTGCACCTCCTTGTGCAGGTCAATGCACAAGGGGGTGCTCAGCAAATTAAAAGTCCAAAAAGCTGGGTCGACAATCATACCGCTGGCTGTGCGACGCAAGAGAGCATGCTTGACATCAGCCTCCATGCTGTGGTCATCAGCAGTAGGGTCAGATGCGGCGTCTGCAGTGCGGGCTTGGCCACTGTGATCCTCGTCTTCGTCTTCATCATCAATGCTGAAGTTGGTATGAATCTAAGCCCCCCCAAAAGGAAAAAGGCATGACCTGAGCTTGATCGCACTGTTTCTTAATCTCATCCGAATTCGCCTGGCCAGACCTCTGTTTTCAACGAGCGCAACCCTGCAGCCAGTACAGAGCAATAAGCATGGGGTACAAACTTACATCACCGCCCCGATACATGTCACCGCCACCCGACTTGAGGTTTTTAACCAAATTTGCTTTGATGACCTACAAGCGATAGATCAAGCCAGGCCAGCGAGTGACTTCAAATTCCATGGCAAATCCGCCAGTTCATTGCCAACACGGAACAAACCTTGCTCTTTTCAGACAAGGCAGACGCATATTGACTCGACTTCTCTTTGAACCGCGAGCCCCACGTGTTTGCCCGGGCGGCGTATTGTTGACGTTTCTCAGTCCACCAGCTCGAGGCCGGGCGCTCCTCGTCAGTGGCAGACTGTTTGGGCTTAGCAGCTTGTGCTGTTGGCGCACTGTCGGCAATGGCAACAGAAGGCGGGCTTGAATCGCCGGCAGCGGCCGTCTTCTCTTCCTCTCCAACATGTTCGCCTTGCAATTTTGGGCCGCGCTTGAGCAGCCCGGCCAAACGCTGCGTCAATGATCGCTGTGTCACGACCACCTATGTGTGCATGGCAGCAGCTATTGTTACTGCGATCGCTGCGTCCTTGGAGCAAGAGTTTCATGTGCCAACCGGGCGCCGGACAAAAAAAAAAAAAACAACGATAGACAGGGCTCTCACCGCAGGATCAGCTTGCAACGGATCAACACCTTCTCGAATAGAGGCTGCAAGATCCAAGCCATCGAGCATGGTGTCCAGGGCCTGTTGAGACTCGATGTACTCGTACAATGCTGAGCCAGCGGGGACGTAGAACTGAGATGAGATCGTTCCTTTGGTGGTGAGAACCTTTTATCAAATACTGCAATAGCAAAATTGACGCACCCACGTAGCCACCGCGGACCAGGCTGACGTATTTGAAATGGCGCTGCAACAGTCGTGCAACCAGCATGTCCACCAAGCCATCGTGGGCAGTTTGGCCCATGAGGCAAATGTGCTTGTCTGATGCCGTAAGCGCCTCCTCCATCTTGCTCAGCTCGGTCTCAAACGCGGCAGGATCATCCATCATCAACTTGGAATCGAGGTGCCATTGTGTGTTGATGAAATGACCGTCATCATAACGGTCAATGGGCCGCACATCCACAAGGAACAAAGGGGCTGACTTGCTACTAGACCTGAGACCCAGGGAATCAGGGCAAGTCAGTCGCCGAGGCAAGCAAGCGACTCAAACTGTCGCAAAGACAGACAGCAAAGAGGGTGGGGATGCAAATACCTGTTCACGACAGCACTAGGTGACATGTCAAAGCAAAGAGCACGGGCTGGGCTCTGCTCATCGCGCAGGCGCCCCGATCCAAAGAGCGGGTTTGTATATTGGCTACGAATCGACTCTGGCGTGATACTTGAGTAGTGAATGGCAAGCTGGACGAGGTCTCCAACATCTTCCGTGGACACGTGCTGCGTCAAGAATAATACATCGTGGACCAATGAGCCAGGCAGGTGGAACATTGAGGCCGACCAGGCGGCAAACGACATGGGGCGCCAACTCTGTGTCTGACTAGAAATACAGATAATATGACCATTTTTTGGAATACGGACCGCAGGCATGGCTACCAAAAAGCCTGTGATGCCTTTTGCATCGTCGCCCATAGTTTGCAGAGTATCACGGGCATTGATCACAAATACCAACGCCACAAAGAACACAAGGAAGGGATCTTCATGGGCGAAAATTTGGTCCCATAGAGGCAACAAAACATCTGCCTCGCACGTGGCTGCAAACAAACTCCGCAACTATGCGTGCAAGTACATTTGGGTGAATACGCATCAACATAGGGCCTGGTCTGCGATGCGTGTCTCAGCAGCACCTCGCTCAGTTCAAATCCACGAGCGTGTGCCGGATGCGCGTACCCAAAGTCGGAGGAAAGAGTGGAGCGCCACGCGTTTGGAGTCCATCAACGAGCACAACTCTGGGTCGTGGTACATCAGCAAAAGTCGAAAGACATCAAAGGCAGGTCTACACAACCGCCATGCACAGCCGTTCACCGAGCACCCGCCCAGTATGTGAGAAGGGAATGTGCAGTGGAGGAGAATCAGGGTCTGGTACTCCCGGTCAAGTCAAGCGAAGAATGGGGCTTACGCATCGTCGCCCATGGCTTTGAGTCCGAACCGAGCCACAATGGCGTAGAACAGATTATAGCGATCTCCAGGAGATAACTCAAGTCCAAAAAGAGGGGCCATCAGCTCTGCAAAGCAGAAAGAGAATACGAAGACGCGTCAGGGCCAGTGGTCAAGCTCAAACGAAGCGTTCTTGTGACACCTCCCCAGTAGGTTCTGCCAACATCAGATGCATTTCGGCGTACCAGGTAGCCCGTCAACTGCGTTATACTTGATGCCGCGAGCTTCATGGTACAAGCCCAAGAGCTGGATACTTGCCGCTGTGGCGGCACTGACATCACCCTGCGCGAATCGCTCTGCCAGGCACCGTGGATGTATGGTTAAACCTGCGCCACTGCCGCAAGCCAAGGAGCGATTCTCAGGCGGTGGGAAAGACACAAACCAGCTTGAATTCCTGCAGCGGCACGCAGATCTCCGTCAATCTCCTGCTGGGGCTGCCGCTCCCCAACGTGGTCTGGCTTGCCGCTCACGTCTAGCAGTGCCAACCAGGCAGCAGGGCGCATCTCCTCAGGTATGGCCCCAGGTAGATCACGCGTCGCACTACACCAAGACCACGAGGCACGCCAAGATGTGTAGTCAGGGAAGTGAAGAAATTCTGATCGAGTGAGGCTTGAGTTTGGGGGGTGGTGGTACCTGGCCACGGCTGCCTTGTCAGGCAAGTCGGCCTCAAGCAAGGTGGCCAGCTCCTCCATCTTGACGTTGTTTGGCCGACGCAGGAAAGGAGCTATTCTGTCACTCAACAGAAGCAGCTGCAGGCGAGGAAGGCGCGTTCAACCCCGCCCTACCCAACACTCACACTCCACTCGGATGCCGATTCACCGCCCCCACGCCCCCCACTGCCAATTCAAAACGACCTCTTGGTGCACGAAAAAGTGTGTGTGTGTGTGTGTGTGTGTGTGTGTGTGTGTGTGTGTGTGTGTGTGTGTGTGTGTGTGTGTGTGTGTGTGTGTGTGTGTGTGTGTGTGTGTGTGTGTGCCTTTCTCTCTCTCTGCATTCCGATCCATTGTCATCATTTTTCTGCCTCACAACACAAACAGCCAAATCATCGACTCTTTGATTTTGATGTGACGGCAGCGGTGAGGCAATGGCAGCGAGTGTAGCCTCATGCCGTTTTTGATGAATGGCCATGGGCAATCGGTGGTGGGGCTGAGATCTGTCTTGCTTGGTGGATCTCACTTGTGATTGCTGTTGGCGCAGAATTGGTCTGGCATTGCATACGCGCGCGCCGATGCTCGCTTGGCGCACTTGGTCGGCGGTGTTGCGGCAGGCCTCCCGCCGGGTGCGCGCAGCAAGTTGCACCACAGTGGTGACCATGGCCCGCCTCCACTCTTTGGTAGGTGGACCCCTTGCTCTTGACGCTTCAAAAAAAAAAAAAAAAAAAAAAAACGACTTTGAGCCCTCACCATTACGCTTTGTGTGCAACATGCCCCAGACTATCAATCGAACCTGGAACAATGCACCGTTGCAACCGGCCGATCAAGTGAGAGCACGATCGTGTTGTTGTCGTTCAAGGTCATGATGTTCTCATGCCCCCACCCTCCAACCCCCCCCTTTTTGGGGGTTTAGGTGGCGGTGCAATTAGAAGCTTCTGCTGATGGTCAAGACCTTTTGTAGGTGGAAAGACCTCAATCAACACCCACCCAGGCTCAAGGCGAAATGGTGTTGAACTCACCTCTTGGGGAGGGATTCGTCTGGTTACCAATCTTAGGCTGTCGGTTGAGGCGCCACTTTACAATGATCCACCAATGCCTCAACATCCACCCGGAAGCACACCGCAGCTGTGGGACTACGAGGTACCGCATCGGACCAACCGTGTCGCGCTTTGCCCCTGGCCTCAGCTCAATCTGCTCGGATAGGTTGTCGAGGCTTTTTTTCTTGGCCAAGGTGAACGATATCTTGAAGTTGAGGTCGGGCCCCATGGGCATTATCTAGCATTGGCCCTGCACGGCGAGCGGCATTGTGTCACTTCAGGAATTCAGCTCGATTTCGTGTCCACCATCGACACGGCCTTCGGTATGCACCGCCAGCAAGAAGTCCCGATTATTGCTCAAAACAGGCCTAAGTCTAGGCCTCGCCTGCTGCCCATCTTATCTCGGCCTTTTTCTTGTTTTCCATGAAACCATTCAAGCACGGTGGCGCGGCGTTGCTCGAATTCCCACGGTTCTGCTTCCACCCGGGCTGTTCGCAGTAAGTGTGGCAGCGTACAATGGCTTTTCGGTGTGCAGCAGCGCCTCGCTCCGACATTTCTCCAAAGATACACAACGTGTTGAGTGTAGCGCTCATCTCTGTACACCTTAACCGTGGCTTCAGATGAACGCATATGCCATCAATGGATCCGGTGATCAGCGCTGCTACAAGGTAGGAGCGCTAAGCAATGGCTGCCTCACCATACATGAAAGCATGAACCTTGATCAGCCATGAGCTGACCTCGCTTTGGGTGGCACACTCAAACTAGGCCTTATACCCTGCTACTGGAGGTGAAGCAGAGCCAAACTTGTACGTTTATTACCCATTCCAAAAGGCTCTTTCAGATGAATTCTCGTCAGGTGAACCTCTTGGCTCTCACGTACCACCCTTCCGTTGTGTTTTTTCTGGTGCTGCAAGCAGTCACCGTCTCCAGTATTTCAAGCCAATGGACGCCAGCCAATTGGTCCTTACGGCTGAAGCTGCCCTCTGGGATGCCACGATGCTCAGCCAACCCGAGCTGAACGACCCCATGTGATTCACTGGTGGCCAAACACAATCGTTTCAGTACTAGGCCACATGGCCCTTGTTTTTCCCATTTTCTTCGTGCCTGCATCCCATCATGATTTTCTTGGTGCCTGCATCCTTTCATGATACTCGACGCACTCCGTTTTTATGGCAAGGAAAACAAGGAAAATAAAAGCAGGCCGGAGAAGAAGATACGTTTTGAGGTTGCTGCATGCACGAATAATTTTGGGACGTCAATTGCAGACGCGTCTGCCAATATCGAAAGTGATATGCAAAACATTCTTTCCAAGCTCGTGCATGTATAATAATATTAATATCGGTTGTAAAATCATTAAAGGGTGAATCAAGGGGTGGAGAACTCGCTGTTACCCTCTTCAATAGGCGCTAAGCATTCAATACTGCCCACGAGCGCCTCATCGATGACCCACAGCTCTTCTTTGCGCCGAAGCACAGCCCAAGCGTCATTCAACTGGGCACGCGCTTGCCAATCCGGATTGAGCATAGCATGCAATAAGCGGGAGAGTCGAGGATTGAGCTGCTGGATTAGACCATGAGGTGCAACTAGCTGGTTTGAATGCATGTAGCGGGCAAAATCGGGGTCAGACATCTCAGCGCAACACCAAGGGAGATCTGTAAAGAGGACAGAGTACCACACCATGCCCACCGTCCAAACATCGGCAGCTTGGGCCACTTCCCGACTGAGATGTTGATCACTGGCCACGGCATGGAGGGCTTCTGGTGACGCATAGACGAGATTGGCCCCTAGCCCAGCTCGGGGACTAAGATGCAGCTGACGATCATCATCGATGAACAGATTTGTTGGTGTCAGTCGCCCTTGAAGATCGTGTCCGTCACGGTGAAGCAATTGCATGCAGCGCACCAGCTGTCGCATCCAGCGCCGCGCGTCACGGGAAAAATATCGCTGCTCGGCATACGGGTGTACAAAATCCAAGAGAGATCGCTGCCATCCTGTGTCCATACCGTCGTCACCGTGTCGTGGCCCAGCATGCCAACACACGAGTGCTGACCAAAAGCCCCGGGGGAAAATGACAACCCGGCCCGGAAGTACAGCAATTTTTGTTGCCAGCGATGCAACGCGGGGGTCTTGTGATCGCCAATCCACTTGGGTCGGTGTTGCAAAGAAAACGCATAAAAGTGAAAATGAACAAAGGGTTGGCACTTGCTTTTCAGGCTCAAGGGGCATGGCGATGGCGCGCAAGGAGGGAGGGGCACGCAGGTTGGGTGGGACCGCGTGTTGAGAAACGATGTGCTGCAATTCCATAAAAAAATGTAGGGGCAAGAAGGGAATTGACAGGGGTTAATGTACAGCTCGATATGACATGATACATGACAAACTTTTGTGGGTCAGAGGCTTCGTGTCACGTGTAAGCCATGGGACACGACAGAATATTATTGAGAAGCATGGGTTTGGATGGAAAGGGGGGCAATTGCTTTTTGCCTCTGCTGTTGGCTGTTGGCTGTTGGCTGTTGGGGTTGCTTGTGCAACTCTGCTTCACACGCACACACATACCACACTTTAATGTTCTACTCACTCGTCAGAGGTAAAAAGGTGTTGGTTGCTTCTCAACAAGTGTGAAGTGAAAAGAAAAGATCACCATGCAAAGATATCATCGTCAAACGAAAGGCTGCACACACACACAACTGAACAGTAGCGATTCAATCGCCTTGATTTCTTGCATGATCGAAAAGGGAAAGCGTGAGTTGACGGCCGTGGTTACTGCTGCAAGCACCCGGCCTCACGCCTATGGAATCAACGAGATGCCAGAACATCAAGGCAAAGTCTTGGTATGGTCACACAAGCAGGCCGTATTTCGCGGGAAGGGGGTAATATTCCATTAATAAACGTACAACAATGCTTCTGGGAACACATGCGGAGGCTCATCGAGCACCCGGCGTCGATCATTCTGACCCAAAAGCCGAGCAAGAGCAAGTGAAGCCTCCTCCTCCTGCTCCCCCTCCTCGTCCTCCAAGACAGGTTGCTTCTCGCGGGGCACGTAAAACTTAAAGTCATTGGCCAACCCTACACGTTCACAAGCAGTGAAGGTGGGTCATTCGCGATTTGAAGGCGTGCAAAGTCAAAAAAGCACATGTCATCTGACCAGAAAAGGCAATCATTGGCAACGTTGGATGGGGACAGATGCAGTTGCAAATTCCTGGGTTCTCAGACGTGCCATCGCCCAAAATGACGCGCAACCCTCGCCCCGTCGCACGGTCGTAAAACCAAGCCTGTCGTCGGGTGGGTTCGAGCAATTTGGTGCGCATTTGAATTCAGAGAGCAGTAGTGCAGAATTGGTGTGGGCGGTACCGAACAGCACCCAACCGTCAACCGATGAGAAAAAAACAACAACATGCGCGGACGTACATGGCCGTCGTCGCTCCCACTGATCACCCATTGTTCATCGGGGCCAAAAAATGCACAAGACTTGATAGTCTGGAAGTTGCGATGACCATGGTAGCGCTGTACTTCAGCCCGCAACGGTACACCTGTGGCAAAGGACTGCCAGGATTCCAAGAACCATCGATTATGAATCAGCGCTGCAAGCGATTTTCTTCAGCTGTTTCATGAAGAGGCGAATGGCCCAAATCCTACCAGGCCTTGAGGGCGGGTGGCGGACTGGACAGCTGCCCGCACGTCCAACAACACCATGTCTCCATCGTTGTAAGACACTAAAACCTCTGCGCGAAAAAAAAAAAATAAAATAAAAGCCGTCGTTCAAGTGAAAACAGGGTCAGCATTTTGCATGGGCTGCATCATTGGTCGCGCAGTTCGATTGAGCCAAAATGGCGATCTGCCAACGCCCCCCTCCCCTTTGTCACGACGAATCGTACCAGAGCCGTCACGGCTGTGAGTGGCGCAAGTCAAGATCTGACCCCTGCCATAGTGGTACTGCAGAACAAACATGGGGTGGCGCTGAGCCACGTGCTAAAACCGTGAGTCACTTGTAGCGGGGTTTGAAAACGATCGGACACACTCGTTGTGAGAAAAGTCCATGGACTTCACTCATTGGGCGCCGTGGAAACCGCTCGTCGAAAAAGTATAGATTGGGATCGCCACCACATGCCAAGAAGAGGTGTGGTCGCACAGGATTGTACTCAACGGCATGCAGTTCAATCTACAAGGCAGAAGGGATTCGCTACAACGTGAGCAGCATTGACAAAAAATCGAGCCAACCACGGCCCCCCATCTGGAGAGAAATTTGGTGGAGTATGTTTGCGTGTGTGCCCAAACAGACCACACTGCTATAACCAACCGTGGAAGAATCCATCAAGCTCCGACAACGTATCACCGTCTCTCTGCAACAAAATGCGGCGAGGCAGGTCAAGCAGGTGAGTAAACAAGTCGCTGTGCGACAGCCTCTGAGCTGCGCCAATGATCGACTTGAAGACCTACGCAATGCCAGCTCTGAGGTCAACGCGTCGTACAATTCCATCCTCGCCCGAAGTCAGCAGGACTGAATGATCGTCAGGCTTGAAAGATATCTACATTTGGTGCCAAGCACATGGAGCCTTGAGCACCGGACCCCTTCATGGCCGAACACACTGTTTGGATGATGGGGTGGATAAAGAACTCGCCCCCATTCCCAATGCAAGCAGCCAGCTTGGCTTCAGACGCAAACAAGGTGCGCACCTTGTGGGCGCGACCGCGATGCTCTGAAATCTTGCGCACGCGCAAAGGCCGTTCAGAGAAGCTGGCAATGTCATAGAGGAAGACCTCGCCGTCGCCGGCCGCAGTTACGAGTTGGTGGTCATTGGAACCAGGCAAGAACTTGCACTGGTGACCAAAAAAATTTTACGGTCAAGAAAGAGGTGAGTTGATTGAACTATTTGATGCATATGCTCTTGCAAGAAACAAGCGGAGAGCCCATGCAAACACAGCACGCGCATGGAGCAAAGGCAGAGGAGAAGTGCAAAGCTTGCCTGGAAGAGATTGCCACGATGGCGCGTTCGAAGTGAAGCCACGTAGCGACAAGAACCGTGGCGCACAGACCACACACCCACCTATAAGCCATAACAACGTGGCACGACGAACCGATCACAACCAGCACGAGATGACAGCGCCGTCAAATTAAGGAGTGGAAATCAGTACAGCGTCAGAGCTAACGCACCGTGCGGTCATCGCTGCCAGACAAGAGCAATGTTCCATCGTCGTTGAAAGAGAGGTTGTTCTAAACATGGAAGAGAAGTCATCAGGCGCAGCGTATACAACATTCAGCTCATTGGCTAGCAAAACGGTGGCATGGGACCCCAACATGCCACAGCTCAGAACATCTTTCATGGTACGGGGCCTGACGTACGATGCAACCCCGATGGTGTCGATCCACGGGCACGGGCAGGAGCGAAGCAATGAGATCCTCCGAGCCAGGCTGAGCCAATGAATTTGAACTGGACATGATGGCCCGCGGCCGGCGACGGTTCTGAAGCCAAGTCCAGTTGGAAAGAGGCGCGGTGCGATGCAATGGGCGCCGGCGCTTTGCAACGGCCGCTTCGACCCAATGCATGTAACGGGGATCTGCTGCTTCGTCATGCTCGATCAGGTCTTTGGAGCGATAAAACGAAGCCAAACGCTCGGCAACGTTCTCGTCAGCAGCAGCACGATCACGTCCTCCAGGGTTTTCGGCGTCCTCATCGCTGCTTTCAAACTCAAGGCCATTTTCATCCTCATCCTCATCCTCGTCCCCGTCCTCAGTCTCCCCGCTATCCGATGTAGAAGAGAGCTGGGCCAAAGCCTGACGCCACGGGTCGCGATCGAGAAGGTCGTCTTCGTCATCGCTGTGCGGCCCTTCAGAGTTGCCGCCTTCATGTGAGCGAGCCAACAGCGCGTGTTGGGGACTGGCTGCTAGCTGGGGTTCGGGGCTCTCCTCCTCGTCCGGCCCAAGCTCAAAGTCAGGAGCCTCGTGTTGGGGTAGGGGGGGGGATGATGTAGGAACAAATGAAGAGTCTGAGCTCGTGTCACTGGCGCTCGAGCCGAGCACTGCAGTAGCAGCAGCAGCAGCAGCAGTGGCGTTGGGCGGCGTCTCGGACGCAGCATGGCTCTCGGGGGCCCTGCTTGGTCTCCGTTGAGTGCGCGTCGCTGGCGCCGACCGCTTGGCGGGTGGTGGTTGGCTGCCACCCGGTTCCATGTCAAGTTGTCCCCTCGTACCTGCTGGTGGCACACAAGTACAGCTGACGTCGACGACGCGAGAAAGCGCCGCTAGCAAATTCACGAATGACCAACTTTTTCTGACATTCAGAGTTGTGTGTGTGTGTGTGTGTGTGTGTGTGTGTGTGTGTGTGTGTGTTGTTCTGGCGGCCTGGTTCGAATTGACCCGTCGGCGGTCAGGTGTTTTGGGCGGCCAGTATGCTTGTGGGGTGGGGTGCTTCTGAACGTGCTGTTCTCGAAAGTGCTGACTTAACTGATCGTGCTTCGTTATCAACTGTCAACTCACAACCAAGAAGCACACATACTCGCCAGAAGCAGTGGCCAACACAATGACCTATTGATTACTACGATTGGGGATCGGTGGGGGCGGGGTTGGCAGGCACATTGCCAGGCCTCCTTTGACTAACTCATTGGCTCGGTGGGAACGCTGAGCACATGTCGGGCCCGTCCGATGATGCAGCTAGGTTTTACAGTCATGCCTCGGGTTCCATACGAGCATGCGCCTTTGGGTGCCGCAAAGAGTGTGAGGATGATATCAGCCTCATCGGCATTGCCTTGTCGCTGTACGTCTAGCAAGCAGCCAACTTGGGGCTCCGCGCCAAAAAAGGCCTCGGGGTCGTGCGCATAGACCGCCTGACCAATGAGACCTTTCAGGGTCGCGTACAAGTTGGGCGAGGTCACATCGATGGGCTCGGGCACAACGTAGTGCTTGGCGCCATACTCTGGAATCAGGTACTCGGGCAACGGCTGAGCAGGCAGGCGGTCAGCCAGTTTTTCATCGTCTGCCGCCATGGTGTAGACGCCCGACAAGGGTCCTTGCAGCTCCTTGCGCCGATCACCCGGGCGTCGGGTCGGCTGCACCCATGCTTGCGCATCGCCATGCTGGTATGCCGCCGTGTCAAACTTCATGTCGGGCTCGAGGTGAGCCACCCAAGCCGGGTGGGTGGTGTAAATGTCCAGATGGACTTCGGGACGCCGTCCTTGCTCCCATTCAGCATCAGACGCCTCCTCGTCAGCCCTCAACACCTCGACGCGATCGACAAACCCCGCCACGTTGGCCTCCAGCCAATCATCATTGAGATAGTCATCTACACCGCACTCGCCCGCCAATGGAAAGTTTTGCAGCTTGTCCGAGTACTCCCACCCGATGATCGGATCCATCAAAAGACAAAAGGCAAAGATTCGGCCCAGCGGCGCCCGCCCGGCATCTGGATGAATCTGAACCACCCGCATACGCGCCACCCCCTGCACCTTGTCCACCTGAACCACGGTCACCAGATACAACGCCCCCATCTCGGTTCGAGCGCAAATGTCACGCTTTTCTTACATCGTTGTCATACTTTTTTATTCTCTCCCTCTCTCTCTCTCTTTCTTCGAGACGCATGTGCTGCTGCTGCTGCTGCTGTTGCTGCTGGTTGTGGTTGAGGCTGGTGGTGGTGGCAGCGGGACGTTGTTCGACTTGATCGGGCTGGACTCGAGGCGACAGCGATAGGCATCGGCTTGGCTGTTGAAGTTGGAAGAGTCGTGCGTGGCTTTGTCGTTTCCCTGGACTCGGTGGCATTCTCGTGATCCTGCAGTTGAGCAGCGTGCGTGATTTTACACACAGGCCAACAGTCGTGCCACCGGATGTGCACAAGCCAGAGCCAAGCCAGAGCCATAAGATCTCAAGAAAGCTGAAACGAAACTGGCCCCATCTTGACAGCCAGAGGCCTGACCGGAATTCTTGAGCAAAAAGCCCCAAAGCCCAACTGAGGGCTCTTTTTCCGTCCTGGTTGAGGAGGCGTGACGCCATCTGCATCTGGCCCTCACCCTAGCTGAGTTGCTGGGAAGGGCGGAGCATTTTCAATCAATATCGGACCTCATTCCCAAGCTATGATGGCGCCGAGCCAGCTGCCTCAGACTGCCGTGTCACTTGAGCAGGACTCTGCACACACGCAAGCTGGTGCCAAAAAAGTGTGGGAGGTACGCCTGCACGCACTCGATGGCTTTCTTTTTTCCCCTGAATGCGCTCACGGACCTTCGCCACACCCCCTGTGACACACAGCTGTACACTGGCAAAAGCAAAATTTGGTGTGATGGACGCTGCATTTCCGGCGTTAACCACGGTGTCATTGCCTTTGTTTTCTTCTTGATTTTAGGACCACCCGCCCTCTTCTATGGCTTCAGGTAGCGTTGTCTGCTCAACCTAAATGCCCGAGTGCTGATCACTGCATCTTGCCAGGGTTTATCGCCAGCACAGCACTAGCAAGCCCCATCGCACGCCCTCACGACTTGCCTCGTTCGCTCGTTTTGTCCCTCGGCGTCACCGATAGTGGACCATACTTTTGGAATGAGGTTTCGCCTGCCGTTATTCTCGTTCTCATTTACCTACAGTATCTCACTGTTTCCAATCTGCTGTGGGTTTACCTGACGGATCCAGGTAAGCAGCCATGCTGTGCTTGGCCTTTTTTCGGGAATTTCTTCTTGTCCGTTTCCTTCTTTGTTTTTTATATGCGCCGCCATCTTCTTGACTTGGCATGGCACTCACAGCAGCAGCTGCCGACTTTAAAATCCAACTCACCTCTGTCACCTTCCTGCCGCCAGGGATCATTCCCCGCGCCACTCGCGATGAAGATGAAGCGCTGCATGCTGGTATGTGTGCTCCAATGACTCAATGCTTGCTTGCTCTGCTCTCTGAATTATCATGCAGCTTGAACGTGCTCTCAAATGTCGGAATCGTGGTCATTTGGCGACTTTCCATTTTGACGAAGCGCGTCACCGCGGCAATATGAGTGCACCCCGCACCCAATCCATCACAGTTCAGGGACAGGTGAGAATTTTCAGATTCCATCCATCTTTGGCCAAGTTTTGACGGCCTCTTGGACTTGTGCGCCTGCTCGCGAATGTGGCGAACATCGAGGCCAACTCGGCGCAACGCCCACTACACCAGCTTGATGTGTCTGTTACTGCCCGAGCCTGTCCTGATCGGTTCTGCCTCTGCTTTCCACGCTTTGCTGCAGCAAGTGGAGCTCAACCACTGCTTTACCTGCCATACTGTCAAGCAGCCTCGATCCAATCATTGCAGTCAAACCAACAACTGCGTTTGTATGTCATACCGCCCCTCTGCTCGCCTGGCTGCTTCAACGTGCCCTTGATGTCTCAATGCTGCCCTTGATGCGCACAGTGGTTTTTGATCACTACTGCCCATGGACCAGCCAAACAATTGGGTATGTGTTTTTGGCCTGCGGGAACGGCTTCGTCGAGAGCTTTCCGCTGTCTCAATCTGTCCCGCCACATGCCGCACGGCCTTTACTAGAGAGCGCAACTATCGCTTCTTCTTTTCTTTTCTTCTCTCGGCATTTGCCAGCATTGTCTATATTTTTGTCTGCTCCATCTGTCACCTTGTGGCCCTGATTGATGAGAAAGGTAAGCCGTGTTTCCGGGCAGACCAAGGCAACCGCTTCAACGTGGCAAGCTCGGCCCCGGATAGATTCTCGGGATCGAAAAGCTCGCCGTCGCCGCAGTGATAGCCGCACTTGATGACTTTTTGGATATTGAATCGCAGATACGTTTGGAAGCGCACTTCGTGCTCAGCCCTATTTGGCCATCATTATTGTTCTGATGTTCCTGCTCATGCTCTCGCTGGGTGGCATGGTTGGCTTTCATGGTACGCACGGCCCCCACCACGCTTGCCCCACCTTGTGCCTGAGCCCGTGTCGGCTGGGACTTTGACCTTGCTGGCAATCTAACCTGATACATGCCCGTTGTATCCAGAGTTTCTCATCAGCATTGGCATGTCTACCAATGAGACATTCAAATTTGATCTGAATGACACCAGTCCCTATGCGCGGGGCAGCTGGCTGCAGCGAAATCTAAGTATGTACGCGCAGTTGTACTTGGCCGCAAGGCGATTGGGGCCAACTGGAATTGGAACGCCGCAGCACTTTCAAACGAAGACATCGATAACTCTCTTGCCATTGATTTGATCCATGTTTGACGCTTCTTCGCTTGCTGCTTTTTTAGTGGCGTTGCTGGGCCCGCGAAAGCCGACCCTCGTGCGCTGGCGTGAACCGGCTTCCAGCTGTGAATATCAAGTACACGCCTACTTCCAAGAATTTAAGAGCAAAGCAGCCCAGACTGTGACGGTATGTCTTGCTGCTCCCGCAGTACAGGTCGTGCGTGCCTTGTGTCCCACTCACCCTGCTTTTGTTTTGCCGAATCCATCAGACCCGGACCTTGGCGCCACCAGCCGCTGCACAAGCCGTGGCACCCCCACCCGTAGCGAGCGCCACCGCCCCACCCGCCTCCCACGACCCTCCCATCGACAACAGCCGGTCTGGCGCATCGCCCAGTCCACCAAAGCCTGTCGCAACCTCCGCTGAAGGGGGCACGACACCCAGCCGTGCGCACGACGGTCATTCGTTGACTGGAGCAGCGCACGAGGACGCCAGAAGTCGGGTTGATGATGACTTTCGTTTGCGACCCGCCTCCTCAAACCTGAGCCTTTTGGCCATGCCAGGCGAACGGGAGCTAGGAGCCAGTCGCGAGCAGCTCAACATCCCGCCTGGCGCCCGGGAGAACTCGTCCATGCTCAATTCAGCCCCGGACGGAGCGCGCATGACAGACAGTGCTGTCGTGACCGAATCGGCGGACGAGCATCCAGGCGACCACGTCTCGCAGCGTGGCAGACGCGATAGTGCCATGAGCAACGATCACGGTGTAGAGGAAGTGGCCCGCCACGTCAGAAATGCTCGCACACCAGTCTTGCGAGAAACGCCTAGTGCCAGCCCCCGCTCGCGCGTAGATTTGGTTTAAGTCCGAGTGACAGGAATAGAGGAACATGTTGACGTGATATCATCATGTGCAGTCATAATTCCTATTAACAGCGGTCTCTCGCGCAAACAAGCCAAAAACACCCTACGACTTTGAAGAGCTGGGTTTTGAGCATCGAAAAGAAGAAAACGGTCAAGAACACACGAACTCTGTGAGCGATACAAAACAATCTCAAACTTCACCAAAACCTAGTTTGGTGCTGCGTGAAATCTCGAACTCTATTCCTCCAAACATTCACTCAAGCAAGCGCATTTTTCATCACTTCGTCAAAATGGCGGACAACGACCAAAGCAATGTCAATCAGATCGCAACGCAGGTGACCGATTTACTCGAGCAACTGCCGAGAGACTTGCTTGAACTCGTCCATTTCAGCACGGCCTGTCAAGCAGTGCAGGGCGTGCGCTATGGTTTTCGGCAACTCCAGCTTGAGGGCTGGCGGGACGAGACGTCAACGCCCACTGCCTGGCCAGCACTGCTTGAGAAGCTGGCAACTGCTATGAGGCTCGTGCCACAAGCTGATTTGAGCAAATTGAATCAGTATGATCGCGAAGATTTATTGAAGCACTTGAAACAACTGCCCGATTTGGTTCAGACATGGAAACGCGACTGTGAAGCCAATAGATTGAAGCTCGAAGGTGCTGCGAAACACTTCCAATCTGGAGCCAACAGCTTGCTTGAAAGCCTGCCAAACGGCTCTGTGTTGCTCATTTCGACGGGATCTAGCCCTTATTGGCTTTCCAAAACATGCCAACTCTGCTCAGGCACTCTCCAGACCATTTACCTGCCTTTCTCTGGTCAAAGCAAGTTCAGTTCCAACAAGGTCGACTTTTACTCACAGGCCCAGGAAGCTCGACGGAACGAGTACAAAAAGAATTTTGATGAGCGTGTGATGTCTCCAGTGATCGAAAAGTGGAGATGCGAACTTGAGAAGCAAGTGGAAAGCAGCGAGTCGATGGAAGCCTTTTTGAGTGGGTTTGACCACGTCGTTTTGGTCGACCAGCTGCAGAGTTATGGTACAGTGTATTACGCTGCCCACATCATCAGTGAGCTGTGCAAAGACACTTCATTGCACCTTTTTACGACGACTAAAAACTTTGACACCAATGGTATCGACATCCCTTTTAAGGTTCACGGTGTTGAGCTGCCCATCATAACGGCCTTGAACCAAGGCGGCAGCTCCTCCTTCTCCGATGCCGTCTGCCCAATCGAAAGCATGGTCTGGAAAGATGGCAAAGCCATGTTTGAGGAGCGGAAGGAGTTCTCACAACCTCTCCATGACCGCTTGGGGAACATGGTGAAGGAGTTGCTGCAACAACAGAATACGGTTTGATTTCTTAAGCCATGTGATTGATGTTTGTCGCCCACAAGTAACTGCACGTTGTAGCTCTTGCATGCCTTCAAAGGCTTCTCATTTTTCAGCTCAATTATGAGCGATCGCCGTACATTGTGTGAATTGATATCAAACTTGAACTAGCCCCAGCAGAGCTTTCCGCGGAACTGCAAAAAGCTTATCTCAACCCCAGGCAATAGCGTTGGCTTGCTCGAGAATCTCGGCATACTTCTTCTGAAGCTCCTCGTTCTCACTCTGGGCGGCCATGGCCTTGACTTGTTCACCAAAATTGTCCACAATCTGTACGAAAGGTGGTGGGGTGTGAGCTACTCACGTTTCTCAAGCATGGCAACAGGCTGAGCGGAAACAAATGAAACGCACCTCCTTCAACTGAGCCTTTTGCGCCTGGGCTTGCGAGTCATCGAGGGCTGTTTGCGTTGGAAAACCAATTTCCTCCGCACCGTTGGCCCCGATGACGCCGAAGACCTTCAGAATCTTCGTCAAATAGAGGCCAACCTGGCGAGTGTACAGTCAACAATGGAACATTCAAGATGCGCTGCGATGAGCTGTCATCAACCAGTAACAAGTTCAAGCAATGAAGAGGTGCACACCCCATCATCCCGCCAAAAGGAAAGGACCAAGGGCACTAGGTCGCTGACGTTTGTACCTGGCGCAAGAGCTGGGTATGTGGTTGGCGCTTCTCCGCCTCTTCAGTGCTGACATACTTGTTGGCCTCGGTCATAAGTGAGCGCATAGCAGCAATGGCGGTCGCCTATTGCGCCGAAGGGCGGGAAGGAGATAAACAGGCAACATTAAATCCCGAAATGAGGTTGAGAGAACTGGATGTTGCAAACTAGCTCTGCAGACACACTGCAATGGCACGGACCGTATCAAAGTTATCACAGAGGGCTTCATGCAACCGCTGACGATGAACGCCAAACCTGCGCGCCAGGGACAATAGCAGATCAGACAATTCAATTTGCCATCGTGAACGCAGTTGAGCAAGTAAGGATGAACGGCTCACGTTTGCAACAGGCCCTTGTCATTCTCCGTCATGTCACGGAAAGGCTGGCCCTCATCGCGGCGCACCAAGGCATTGACCGTGTAGAAGAATTCCTGAAACATCATCAATCCAATGACCAGTCAGCCAAGACGAGTGTCTAGGAGAAACCCCCGATTACTTGTTGCAACTGGGCAGACGACCCACCTTGAACTGCTTTTCGAGCACGGTGGCCTCGACCATGCCAGCCTCACTGTAATCGAGGGTAGAGTTCCAACCATGAGTCAAAAACGTGAGGCGAATTTGAGTCGCGTTGTGCTTTTTCAAGGCGTCCTATACACCCCATAAACAAGCGCAAAAGGCAATCAGTTTCGGTTGTCACAAAAGCGTATCCCCTCTGACAAAGTGAGGTTCTGAAGAGCTCTTGATGATGAGCACAAGTGTCGCACCTTGATGGTGATAAAGTTTTTGAGTGACTTGGACATTTTCAAGCCCTCGATGGTCAAGTGGCCACTGTGGCAAAAATAATTGCACCATTGGCCTTGGTCGTAAAACGCCTGAGACGACACAACGTTCGTAAAAACCAGAGCACAAGAAGCCAGCACTCGCGGATCATGGCCAAAGTCTAGCTCAAGGAGCAAGGAAAACAGCCCACCTCAGACTGGGCAATCTCGTTGTCGTGATGCGGGAAGCAGAGGTCGATGCCACCGGAATGAATGTCAATCTTGTCACCAAATGCCGCGTGGCACATGGCACTGCATTCAATGTGCCAACCCGGCCGACCCTGCCATGGCATTGCAAGTGAGCGATGATTGAGAAAATCACACATCGATGATGCATGCAGGTCTCATGATACCCGCGCCACTCCTTTCGCTGAACCATTTTGGCCCTGTTGCGCATTTTTCAAGGGGAGTGCCTCGGGTGTCTTTTGAAAGGAGCAAAGACCAGACAGCCAACCAACCTTGCCCCACGGTGAATCCCAGGCTGGCTCGCCAGGCTTGCTGGCCTTCCACAGAGCAAAGTCATAGGGGCTGCGCTTCTCGTTGTCGCTGCTACTCAGAGAACCCTCGGCATCAGCCAGGCTGGCCACGTCTTGGGAGGCCTCGGGCACCAATTTGGGGTAGTCATGGGCATCGCTGGCGGCGTAGCGCGGAGAATCAAAGTAGACCGAGCCATTGGAGGCATAGGCATAGCCGTTGCTAATGATTTGCTCGATAAATGTGACAATCTCTTCGACGTACTCGGTCACACGCGTCAGCACGGTGGGTGGACGAACCTGCAAGGTTATACAACAATCACAAAGTTGTAAGCAATCAGCTTTGGACTGAGAAGCACAGGTCAGTCAAACTCACGTTGAGAGCTGCCATATCAGCAAAGTACTCCGCCTCCCAATGCTGGGTCAGGCGCGCAAAGATGGCGTGATCCTCCACAGTGGAGCCGTGCTGCTTGTCCAAAAACAAGCTCAGAGGATCACGGGCAGCTGCTAGCAAGTCCTGATGCGATTCAAGACGAATACATTCATGATCCATGCACGATATGATTTACAAGTGTGCACTGGCGCAGGTCGTGCAAGTTGAGGGCACGGGAGGGCTGAGGAGCCTACCGCATTTTCAGTGGCGGAGCCGGCCGCCAGCAGGGCTTCGACAGCGTCAATGGTCTTCTGCATCATGGCCTTGAGCGCAGGTTCCTCTGACTTTTCCTGCTTGGCCACATAAACGGCTGGGATAGGCAAGGGACCACCTGCATGTGAGAGAGGTGACTAGTTTTGCAAAATGCGTGTCACAGAGAGAACAGCGCACCCAGAGCAGCGCGGACGTCGGCCTCGACCGACTCGTTGGCATGGCTAGCCACATATTGGTCGTAGAGATACTGCTGTCGCGCGCGCACAATAATCTAGGAAGAAACAACGAAATGGCCCACGCAAGTGAAAACCAGATCGTGGAAAAGGGCCAGTACTTTCAGACACGCTCGCTGCGCTACCTTATCATCAATGTCGGTGATGTTCATGACAAACTTGACGTCGTAGCCAAAGTAGTCAGTCATCACGCGACGCAAAATGTCAAAAGTGATGTAAGAGCTGGAGCCAGCGGTTTAGAGACGAGACCAGCCCAAGACCAACCAGAAGCCAAGCGAGGCAGAGTGAGGCAGCGTGAGATGATGGAAGATGATAACACTGCGTTGCGGAGACAAGCACGCGCTATCGCGCAGATTTTTGAGATCTTGAAGGAAGCGCTGATGCGACCACCAACCGTGCATGGCCCATATGAGACGCGTCGTAAACGGTGGGGCCACAGGAATACCAAAAGACCTGGTCCGAATGACGAGGCACAAAGGCATCCTACGCAAGACAAGTCGTTGGTCAAGCCTCGATTGGTGCTTGGGATCAACGCTGCCCCCAAGCAGCAAGCTGTTTTTGAATTTCAATTCCGTGTTCGTGTGTTGCGCGAAGAGCAGTGTCCAGACCTTGCGGCGAGTGCAGCTGTTGTAAATGTGCAGCTTTGTGGCCGAGTTTTCGGGCATGGTCCAATGCCAGCCCGAGGGCGTTGCGTGAGTCCTGTTTCTTTGAATCATTCACATGCGCAGAAGAGTCGTGAGCGGCACTGGCCCCATCGGACGATGCTACCTGGAGCACGTGAGGGCGAACAGGCGGATGCGACGCAACCTACTCGGCCATGCTTGATCGAGACGTGTTGCGCGTAACTGCCTTGAGCACAGCACAAGTCAATGGCTACTCCAACACAATGCTTTCCCTACACCTTCAACACCCAATCCAACGACTCGCGCCAAGCACAAGGCTGATGGAGCCGGCTATCTAAAAAATACCCCGCCCCAGCCCTGTCAAAGAGCCAAGACAAAAAAAAAAAATAGAAAAGAGGAGAGAAAGACACACACACACACACACACACACACTGAAGTTATGACTGTCAACGTGTGTGTGTGTGTGTGTGTGTGTGTGTGTGTGTGTGTGTGTGTGTGTGTGTGTGTGTGTGTGTGTGTGTTGTATCGATTGGCGAATGCAGTGACGATATCGAGCTCCGTCGGCGTACCCAGTCGATGGCAGCGCCCCCTGCGGTGCGGCGGCGCATGTCCATGGACGGTGGGGGAAGGATCGGTCGTGCTGGCCACTTGGTCATAATGTGTGTGTACGTGTGTGTGCGCGCACCAACACCCCCTCTTAGATCCTCAAGCCAATTGACTCTGTTTGCCAGCAAAAACGCCTCCACCACTGTGTATGTGTGTGTGTGTGTGTTATTTTGCTGTTCCAAAAGCCTCTCTCGCTCTCTCTCTCTCTCTCTCTCTCTCTCTCTCTCTCTCTCTCTCTCTCTCTCTCTCTCTCTCTCTCTCTCTCTCTCTCTCTCTCTCTCTCTCTCTCTCTCTCTCTGTGCGTTTGCTATTGCCTCTGCGTCTTTTGGCGGCGTGAGTGACCCCTGACTTCTTACCGCGGTGCTGCTCGGGGTGCTGGCCTTTTTTTTAAGGGCAGCTTTTGATCACTGGCCGAGCGGGGGATTTGCTTCTCCCACCTTCCTTTGACGAGCGGCCGTCCAATCAAAGTTGCCAAAGAGCCGACGTTCGTGCAACTCATACCCCCCGGACAATAACAATTGTTTACAGGCGGGCGTGGAGCCTGCTCGCCATGGTCGTGGTTGCACAAGGCTCCTCCCGCTGCTGCGGCATTACTTAGCCACGCTTTGCTCCCGCAAGCTCAGCTTTGCACCTGTTGCCTCCTCCCACTCCGTTCTTCCGCTCACAAGCGAGCCCTCACAGCAACATGGCCGCCCCCGTGACGGCACAAAGTGTCGGCGCTGAACAATTGTCCCAAAGTCCGCCAACACGCAGTCGCGCAGCATCCAACTCATCCACCGCCTCCCACGCCTCTTTGACCAAGGGGAACGATGCCCCGGTCTTTGACGAGGCTGGTCACAAGCTTTTGCATTTCTGTGACCAGGACTTTATCGACCTCTTCATTCGCAGTCGAGACCTTGAAGCTTGTATTGATGGCTGGGAATACACCCTCACTGTGGGCGGTGCGTTGGTGCTCTGTAGCATGTTTTACGACCTAGTCACTCATCCTTGGCTCACAAACATGACCCTCTTTGTCATGCTTCTTCAGAATGCGATGTCTACCGCCGCAAGCGCGCCGGACAATCCCTGTACGAGTACACTGTACGTTTGTGGTCAGCGCACAGGATGCGCGCACAGCAGCCTTTTAGAACTTGCCACGCATCGCCTTACGCGTTGTTTTGCATCAGGCGGTGGGAACTTTTACTGACATCAATCCCAAGCTGTTCCATGACGCCTACCTCGACATGCGCTTCATGGAAGAAATCTCCCAATTTACCTATGGTATCCCGCCTAGCATCATGCTTCTCTGCCCGAATTTGCTGGGCTTGTGTCTCCTACTTTGTAGCACTCATGCTTAGGCTAAGAGCCGAGTGCCAAGCCTTCACGTTGGTCGCCAGCTCATGTCTACAATCCTTCAACCCCACATAGACGTCGACTTTGTCTACGGAGAGCCTGGACCTGTCCAGTGCGTGACCAAGTTTCCTTTCCCACTCAGTGACCGCGACTATGTCGTGTACCGTGAATCTCGCTACGTGGCTCTACCCAATGGCAGCCGAGCCTACGTGGTCATGATGAGCGGCGAAGACTTTGCCGATGTACGTGTCAAGCGAGGCCGCGTGCGTGTCAAAGACACTTTGCAATGCATGGTCCTCGAAGAGCAGCCCGACGACCCTCTCAACCCGCGTATGTATGTGAGGTCAGTACCTCCCATCTTCTGTTTTGATGCGCGAGGCAACAAGCAACAAGCTCAGCCAAGCTTTCTTTGAACATCATCCCGCCTGTATTTCTGAGAGTGATGGGCAAATTTACACGGCCACCCCACCCCCGTTTCTGCATGGCTGGATGATTATGACGGTAGCGCGTGGGAAAACCCAGAAGGTTCTATTCCTGCCTGGTTTGTCAATTACGTTGGCAAATTCGCCATTCCCGCTTTCATGAAGGAACTGCGCAATGGCACTCGCCGATATGGCAAATACCGGTAAGAAAATGCCCGCCGACACCAAAGGAGCAGCCAGTCCAAACCTGTTGCCGCGAGCCGTATCTCACATGCTCGACGCGTTCTTTTCTGTGCGCTCGATGTTGAACCTAGAACGCAACGCAACTTACCGGCCGACGCCCCACTACCACCCCGCCTGCGCCTCGATCCCGCAGCTGGTACGTCATGCCGACCAGGCCATGGTCTCATCCCGTGCTCACCTACGGGACAGGGTCAATTGTGCAGTTTTCAACAACCTTTGGGCGCATACCAATTCAACACCCACCTCATCTCTTTTTATGCATAGTCCCATCCAACTCACCACCACTCTTCTTCTCCTTAACGCGCAGGCTACATGCGACCCATGCCACCCAAACCATCGCGCGACCGCACCAGCCGAACGAGCACCATCAACACAAGTCAGGAGCGGATCAAGTCCGAGCCAGACGCCCAAGAGCGCAGTCGCAAGCAGGCGCACGAGTATCCCGAGCATGCGACTGGCCGCTTGACCCCAACTCGGCCGCCCACACGACATCGGCGTAGTCAATCACTACCGTCACGCCACAGTCTGAGCCTGGACCTAGACTCCGAAGCCGGGGAGGGTAGCTCGACCGGCGACGTCACGGATGGACTGTACAACATTCGAACTTGGAATTATGGTGGACCAATCAATGAAATGTCGCTGCGATACTGGCTCGGTGGCTGGCGTGGCTTTGAGGTGGATGAGTTTGTTGATCAAGTACCGCAGTCCACGCTGCTGCCTACGACCGTGAGTCAGGACTGCATGGGTGCCGTCGATGACTTTTTGTCGCAGCACCGCTCCAATGTGCTGTACCGCAATTTTAAAACGGCCAGCTTGAGCAAAGCTCGCGCTTTGCGCCGCTCTGTGTCCGGTGATCACAGCGTCACCGCATCGCCCTTGCCAACGGAAGAGTCCTCGCTTCAGCTTGCTCCAGAGATTGAGATGGACGACGTTGAGGCGGATGAGGACGGCCTCATGCTAGGCGAGTTGAGAAGTATGCAACGCCGAACAATGGAGGCAGCCAGTCAACTAGTTGAGCGGTGGCACGAGCGCATGGACGGTCTGCCATCCCCACTCACACGATTTCGCGCATATCTCGCCGAGCTCTCGGGCGACGAGGCCCAAGCCATTGAACAAACCATTGACACGCGTGTCGTGTCCCTGTAGACTAAACTTTCCGCCCGTGTTTCTGCTTGAACTCACTCGGGTCTCTGACCATAGTCGTCGGCTGCTGGTGCTCATGTCAAGGACTTATATCTCCAGCAGCATCTTTGTTCGTTCTCTGTGACCTCCCGTCGGATTGGGTACTTGTGCCCTACTTTGTTGTGTAAACGTGCATTTCCGGTACGATTCTTTAATTGATGGTAGCTAAGTTTCGGATCTGGTCAGACTTCTCTCAAACAACAACGCCATGCCTTATTGCCCGACATGGCACAACTCAAACAAGTTTTTTTTTTTTAGAAAACCGTCACATGAGTTATTTGTGACGGTGGCGTGTGCTGCGCTTGCGCCCTGGTGCTGTGGTAGCCCACGATTGATCAAAGCGGACTCGAATGAGGGCCAAGCCGTTTCACAGACTGTTACTGCTAGCTTCAAGCGTCTGAATCTGTCTCAGGATCGTTGCTGATGAGAGGGTGGCCATCGCGTGCTTGCCGCTGGGTCTTGACTGACTCGTACAAACGCGCGCTTCGGGACTTATCTCGCCGGCGGCGCCCGCAGCAAGTGCCACATGAGCGGCGCCACAAGTCAGCTAGGCGTGATGACGACCCCTCATCCCGCCCATCGCTGCTATCGCTATCCACGTCGACACTACTCGCAGCGTCGTCTGACCAGGCCTCTTGATCCGTCTCGTATCCACCTTGGCCTCCCCCCAACGCGTGGGGCTCTGCAAGGAGACGTTCAAATTCACTGCTATCGTCAAGCTGCTCACTAAACGCGTCGTCTGCCGAGTGCTTCCTAGCATTTGCGCGGTCAGCAGTGTGTGCGCCACCACTATAACCTGCATTTCAAGATAAAAAAAACGGTGAGCCATGCACCATGACCAACGGTGAGTGCTGTCCCCGCATGCTACCCGGACCCATCACGCACCAAGGGCAAGTTCACGCGTCATGTGCCGGCCTGGCCGAGTAGCGCGCGGCATTCGGTCTACAACACGTCAAAGCGGGGCATCATAGAGGATTATGTCGCGCAGAGCGATCCGACGTGGTCATTGACCACGTAGCGCCAGGAAGGGGTGGAGTGCTTACGTCGCTGCAACTGAGCCTCCAAATCGATGGGAGCCAAGCGACGGACATCAGCTGGGGCTGTCGTTGAAACAGACGCAGTCGGGCTCAATGGACCATCGGACCTTGCACCGGCCCAAGCAGCATGTTGCAGTCGAGGTGGTGGCGCCAGGTTTAATTGTGCCAAAAACTGGGTCGACTCCAAGTCAATGGCAGGCGCGTCAGACACCGCAAATGGGTCCTGTCCAAACGGGTCTTGCCCAAACGGGTCTTGATGAAAATCTGACTGCTGAGGAACATTGGCCATCACGACGGGCTCCACCCAGTCTCGACCTCAAGTACCACATGAGCGACACCAGCCGCCACCACTCATCCCTGTCCCCCTCCGCAAAAAAAAAAAAAAAAAAAAAAAAAAAAAAGGGCACAGCTCAACTTTGGCGGGAAAGAATTGTCAACTTTTTTCTGACATCCGTTGAGATGTCGCGCTCAAGTTGTAAAGACCTCTGTATTTTACATCCGTTGACTTTGACTTGCAAGCGAGCTTGAAAACATCAACAACAACGATCGGTCTTGTTGGCTCAGAACTGGCAGCCATGCATGTGATGGGCAATCCCATCCGTGGCGGCTCGCTGCTCATCGTTGCTGCCAGTTTGCTCGTGTGTGCTACACTGGGCACCGCCAAGCAGCCAAACATCTTGTTCGTCATTGATGAGAGCACCGATGCCAAGGCTTACTTTGCCAAGAATCCAGAGAAGGCTCCAATGCCACTGCCTAACTTGCGCGTATGTATCCCAATGGCCTGAATAGAGCCTCGACCCATGCCGTGATGCCTGTCGTGGGGCAAGTATGGCTTACCGTGTGCCCTCCCTTAATTCCGATGCATGATGGCCTCTAGCGTTTGATGGAGCAAGGCACCACGTTCAACCAGCAATATGTTCAAGGTCAATGAATGAATCGATGCAATCGCCCGCCCGTCTCAACAGGTACCAGCCCATGTCATGAACTCATATCACTATCATGTGCGCCGTCAATCCGCGTTTTTCCTCCCGGATGCCAGCCCCTGTATGCTGTCCCAGCCGAACTTCGACTTGGTCGGGCCGTCACGTAGGTCTTGTCATTCCCGCCCTGTGCATGTCCTCGCTCGATGCTGCGCTGAGCGCCATCTTACTCACCTATCTCTGTTTACACATTAGATCCACCACATCCCCCATCAGCAAACCAATCCTTCCACTGGCTTGTTTGTGACGGGTGCTTGGAACAACTACGAAGGCTTGCCCGAGGTCCGACCGGCTCCTTTGGCTCACCTGGCCTGAAAATCCGCTGGCTGAGCAGGGTTATTGACATTTCTGCTGCTCTGACCTTGATGCGACCAACCTGTTTGCTACCCCTGTGCTGTAATTATGCTGCGTAGAATTACGACCTTAAATACAGCGACGTCTTACACAAGGGTGGCTACAATGTGGGCATCTTTGGCAAAACAGATTTCACAGCCGGTGGCCACACGGTCGACGCCCGCGTGACGGCTTGGACCAATAAAGTGAACTTTCCCTTTACCCTGCAGAACGGCAGTGCTGGTTGGTATGACGAGACAGGGCCGCTTGTGCGAACGGTCAATGTCTCCAAGGTGCGTTAGTACCCCTATTTGCTCACACAGCTCTTGCCATGAGGGCTGTGTCTTCATTTTTCTTTCTGCTCTGTGCAGGTTGTCCACGTCTCTGATTGGAACCACGCCAACCAGACCGCCAAATTCATTGCTGATGCTGCCACTCACGACGAGCCGTGGCTAGCATACGTTGGCTTTGATATTGTGCATCCAGGTTTGTCGTGCTCTCTCAATCCCGCAGACGTCTGAGCCCTACTCGACAAGCCTGTGTCCTTAGAAAGCGGGCCCCTCACGGGAGATGGTTTCCCCGGTCTGCCTCGCCCTGTCTAGATTATGTGAGCAGCCCCTACTGGCTTGATCAAGTTGATATGGACAAGGTGACCGTCCCCGAGTGGATTCCACTCGATCAACTGCATCCAGAGGACTTTCAAGCCACCATGAAGAAGAACATGGCCAACCTCACGCACGACCCTGCCTTTATCAAGAGTGTTCGCCAGCATTACTATGGGATGATTGCCGAGTGCGTCTCGGAACTTGTCTTGATCCAGTCGCACCGTTTTGCAACCTTGGGACATTGATGTTATGCTGCTTTGTGCTTGTTTATCGTGGCCTACCAGATATGATGCCATTCTGGGCGTCGTCCTGGATGCAGTGGAGGCATCGGGCGAAGCTGACAACACCTATGTACGAAACGAATCATGCACTCGCAGCACTCATGATCATGGTCACGTTGGCTGTGCTTGAATGTATACAGCACTCCAAAGCGCTGCCCTTACGTGCACCCTCGCCATTGGCTTGTGCGGCGCGCAGATCTTTGTGACGTCGGACCACGGTGACATGAACATGGAGCATCAACAGTATTACAAGGTAGGTGCAACAAAGGATGCGCCAACTCTTGGTGTTGGTGCATTGCGCGGCGTGCACACCTTGCTTACCCCTCTTTTCCTACCCAATATATAGATGACATACTACGATCCCTCGGCCCGCGTGCCCTTGATTGTCACGGGCCCAACGGTTCAAGCAAATGTGACATATGAGAACCTCACCTCCCACCTCGACTTCTTCCCTACTTTCCTGGAACTGGCGAATGTGCGTACACACCACGCTCGCAGGTAGCTGGGCCGCAATTCGCGACAAGTGCTCACGAACATGTTTGCAATTGCCTACGCCGTTTCTCGGCCTTGCAGATCACGGCACCGGCCGAAGTTCAACTGGAAGGCCGTTCGCTGGTGCCGATCCTTCGGACGGGTGTTGACGCAGGCCGCCCGAATGTAGCCTTGAGCCAATTTCACGGTGACGAGATTCACCTCAGCTGGTTTATGATTCGTACGTGCCCCCTTGCTCATTTGACAAGAGGGACCCAACAACGTGATTTTCCGGCATCTCCTGAACGAAAGGTTGCTTGTCAATTTTTCGTGCCCTTTGTGCACAATAGGCAAGGATGACTACAAGTATGTGACCTTTGGCAGTGGCAAGGAGGTGGCACCTCGCTTGTTCAACATGCGCGAGGACCCACTCGAGATGAATGATCTGGCGCCCTCCAATCCTTCCCTGGTGGCGGAGCTCGATGCCGAGCTTCGCAGCTACTGGGATTACCCCAGCATTGCATCCACAGCTGAGAGCTACAACAAAGGTATGCTACACTCGATCTGATGGAGCCTCGATGCCTGCTGTGCCCTCGTGGACTGAACCGTCTCGTGATCTGAATGACTGCTCGTCTTTCTTTGATGCCAGATTCGTTTGCGCTATTGCGCGCGTCCTTCAATGACGAGGACAAGTTCAAAGCATACCTAGCAACCCTTCGTTGGTCCACATCCTGGTCGTATGACCCTGAGGGCAGCTACGCCGCGATCGAGGCTTGGTTGAAGACTCCCAATTCCACTTTTGAGTGGGCTTTTCCATGAATATGAAGTGATGTTTTGTTGTTTTGGTGTGTCTAGCTTTACCTCTCCTCTAAACTCTTCTGAAGTATCTTCTGTATGCTCATCGCCTTTGTATTAGAGTTGATTGACCAAACATGTCGACTTGTAGCACCGTGTCATGTCAGGGTTACTGAATTTGTTTCTCGCATCCTCCTTCTATACCACCTTGTCTCCACGAAGCGAGGACGAACAGAAGAAAATAGGGTGCGACGAGGAAAAAAAAAAGGGCAAAAGGGAGTCGGACTCACAAAAAAAAAAGGAAGGAGTCGACGACAGAGAAACTTTGGAGTAAAGGAACAAAACGAGGAAAACGTGCACATGAACACCGTATCACACTAATACAGCGAGAGCTCCGGCTCACCCAGCGGACGACTACATGCGTCACATGCGCCGCTCGGGGCGATGGCACCGAGGCACACCTAATCCAGAAGGGAGCGGAACTTCTCGGCCATGCGAGCGCTGAGGTCGTCGTAGACCTTCATGATGTCCTCCTGTGACTTCTCCCACGAGTTTTGGAACTTCATGGAGCTAATCTCGTACATGATGTCACCCATCTGCTCCTTGATGACAGAGAGGGTGATCTTCTTGTCGCTGTTGCTGGTCGTCTCGACAGCGTTGCGGGCCTGGTTGTAGAAGGCAACCATGTTGCGCAGAATGGCCACAGTCTTCCAGAAGGGGCAGTAGCGATCATAGGGCGAGAAACTGCATTTGTGACAAGCAAAAGGCACGCAAAAAGAGAGATGAGAAGGCGGAAGATGACATAAAAGCGGCATGAGGAATGTGATTACGAGCACGCATTGGGTTTATGGCGTACCCGTTCTGCTGAAGGAAATCGTCCTTGATCAACTTGGCCACCTCAAGGGTGATTTTGTCTGTCTCGGCGAGCGAGCCCTTGCCGACGAGCTGGACAATTTCGGAGAGATCCTCCTCCATCTGCAGAATTTCCTTGGCCGTGGTACGCAGGGCGGGGAAGTCGGGGAAGTTCTTGTCATAAAAGTCGTCAAGGGCACGCATGTATTTGCTGTAGGAGATGAGCCAGTTGACTGAGGGAAAGTGCTTGCGCTGAGCCAGCTTCTTGTCGAGACCCCAGAAGACCTGCACGATACCAAGAGTGGCCGAGGTCACGGGATCCGAGAAATCACCACCCGGAGGGGACACGGCACCGACAATGGAGACGGAGCCGATACGCTCGGGAACGCCAAGGCACTGGACGCGGCCAGCGCGCTCGTAGAAAGAGGCCAGACGGGCACCGAGGTAGGCGGGGTAACCGCTATCGGCAGGCATCTCGGCCAGACGACCGGAAATCTCACGAAGAGCCTCGGCCCAACGCGAGGTAGAGTCGGCCATCATGGCCACGTTGTAGCCCTGGTCACGGAAATACTCGGACAGGGTAATACCAGTGTAAATGGAGGCCTCACGGGCAGCCACGGGCATGTTGGAAGTGTTGGCAACAAGGGCCGTGCGCTTCATAATGGTTTCCTTGCGGTCTCCAATCTCAATCTCAAGCTCGGGGAACTCAGCCAACACCTCAGACATCTCGTTACCACGCTCGCCGCAACCGACGTAAATGATAATGTCCGAGTTGGAGAACTTGGACAGAGACTGGGAGATGACAGTCTTGCCGCAACCAAAGGCACCGGGAATGGCAGTAGTACCACCCTGGACGCAAGGGAAGAGGGCGTCCAGGACACGCTGGCCAGTGAGGAGGGGATGGTTGGCAGCCAGCTTCTCGGTCACGGGGCGCATCTGACGGACGGGCCACACTTGCAACATGCGGTGCTCCATTTCCTTGCCCATGAACTCGGTCTTGAGGACCGTATCTTCAATGGTGTACTCACCCTCGGGCGCGATCCAGGTGACAGTACCGCGGCTGCGGGGGTGCGTCAGGATACGATGATCCCTACAGGCAGGAGGTCCAGCATGAGGTTAAACGTGAGCATACACACACACACACCACACACACCACAGGGTGTGTGACTGATGGGCCGTGTTTTGAACAACATCAAGGTGAGGGGTGCGGTTATAAACATACGTGATGAGGGAGTTTTCGTAGACGTGGCCGTAGATGTGACCACCCGAGATGGCATCGCCAACCTTCACGTCCTTGCTGGGGGTGAACTTCCACTTCTTTGTGCGATCGAGCGAGTTGACGGTCACACCACTGTGCATTGTGATGCCACGGACGCGAGAAGGCGGGCAAAAAGTGATGAGTGAAGTGGCTGAGCTTGAAGCTGGCCTTGGGCCGTAAACGTGCGGAATGGGAGGGGGGACCAGGAACAGCAGCGTACCGAGGAATGTAAATGCTCTCGGTCTGGGTGGCAATCTCATCCAGGGGGCGCTGGATACCATCGAAGATGGAGTTGAGGATGCCAGGGCCAAGCTCGACGGAAAGGGGCTTGCCGGTGCGCATGACGGGGTCACCAACGGTAACACCGGAGGTTTCCTCGTACACCTGATAAGTACAAGGGGACGGGGCGGTAGCCAAGGTGCGATGCGCATCATGAGGAAACAAGAACGGGGCAGATGCAGCAGCAGCGTCATGATGTGGACCTAAAAAAATGTTGGCGCTTGCCGCACAAAAATGACCATACAAAATGGCAATGCTTCCAGCGACAAGATGGAGCACCAACCTGAATGGTGGCCTGGTCGCCTTCCAGACGGATAATTTCACCGACGAGGAGCGAGCGACCGACACGGACAAGCTCGTACATGGCCGCACCGCTCATGCGCTCGGCAATAACGACTGGAGGAAAAGGGATGCGAAAAGGCACAAGAGAACATCAGCTAATGTCTGTCTTGACGGACTGGCATCGTGCCAAGTGCACTCCCGAATGCATGCCAGCTGCCAGCCAAGACAGGGCTCGGCAATAACTTGAGGCAAAGAGCAAAGCAGATGTGTTGGCGCGACTTACCAGGACCGGAGACGCTGAAGACGAGGCCATACTTGTTGGCGTCACTGTAGTCAGCCTGCAGAGCCAGCCCGAGATCCAAGAGCAGCAAGTGAGTACATAAGCCCACGAGCCATCCGCAGCTCTTCGGGGAAAAAAAAAGGAGAGCGCGTGCGCGCATAAGAAAACAAGATATGAAGGCCGCACCATGGTGTTGGTTGTGTGCAAGCTGCCAACAAAGGAAGAGCCACCACCTAGAGCAATCAGTTCGAGGGCGGCGAGCGGCAGAGAAAATGAGCTGAAGGCATGTGTTTTCCTGGAGCGCCAGAGGCCTGGGGCGTGGTGGTTATGGAATATCAACGGCGCGGCCAATCACGCAGCCCACACACACGCGATGTGCACTTCAGTGAGTTCACGGTGGCGGCGCACAGTGACACGATTGGGCACAGCAGACAAGCTGAGGAAAAGGGCAGCCTTTCCTCAACAGGCCATCCTGCTTTGCCCAACCAATGCACTCATGGGAGCTGCCATTTCCATCGACCGCCAAGCCATGGCAGAGAGCCATGAATGCTTCCTCCATCCTCCTCCAGGGCTTACCAGTGCGGGATAAAATAGCCTTGGAGCACTTTTGGAGAGAGAGAGCAGAGGGAGAGACAGAGCGTTCTTCTTGAGAGAGTGATCGGCTGGCGATTCACTCTGTAGAGACAGGAGGTGGGTTGAAACGGCACGCTGAGGAGAACCAGAGGGAAATCAGAGAAGTGCTGTAAGAGTGTGAACAAAGAAGAGAGACGAGGAGAATCAGCACGAGCACGTTGCGGTAAAAGAGTCACCTTTCATGTGGAGCAGAAAGCAATGACCTTTGGTAGCTTTGCCAGCAAGCCCTTAAGGGCACCTGCTGATGCTGGGATGGTGTGTGCGCTGATGGTGTGTGTGTGTGCTTCTTCCTCCAACACCACGACATGAGACGAGTGGTGGTGGTGGTGGTGATGCTGGGCTCGGCGACTGGTGCCTTTTAAGTGCCTCCCACACCAACACCAAGCAGTTCTGGTACAGAGGGATACGTCCGACAGGAATGAGTAGACGCCTATTTATACAGCCAAAACAATTCACATTTCCACCAGCCACAGTCGACCCACTCACGGCCCCCGGTCTGCTACCAGATGTACATCCTCTTCAAGGACAAGAGGAAGAAACAGATGTTGTGTTTTACCGTTGCATCGGTCGGGTGTCGTCTCCGTCTCCGCCACCGCGAAGATGGCCGACGAGGCAAAAAACCAGGTCAGCGAAAAGAGTCGGCGCGCGACTGGCCCACCGCTGGACTGTGACGAGCTGGGTTGAATGGAAACTGCTGCTCTGGGTTGGCGTTCTCCTTGTTTCCTACCCTGCATTGGTGGGTGGTGGGTTGAGGAAAGGACCAGCCCCACGAGTGGGGCAGTGTTTGTGCGCCAGCTCGGATCACAGCTTGGAGCAGCTCATGACGAGGGCCTGCTGCCTCATGTTTGCTTGCCATGCAGGTCAATGAGGAGGTTGCGGCCGCGGCCACCAAGGACGATACCGTTCCCACGGGTCTGACTGAGGCTGATGACGAGGCCACCACCGGCGGTGAAAGTGCGTTGGCGACCCACATGGCTCATATTAGCCTGGCTTTTCAATCCCGGTCTGTGCTCTTGACGCCGTGCTGTGGTAACCTTGCCTGTCCTTGTGCTACATGAATTCAGTCGTAACCGCAGGAGCGGCTGCCGCTGACAAGAAGAAGCGCAAGAAAAAGAAGAAGAAGAAAACCACTGCAGCTGGAGGTTTGTGTGTAGCCCCCTTGAAGTGAAGCTCGCCGAGCTGGCCGCGCGCAGTCCGAGGTGTGCTCACCACTCCACCCTCGCCCATGGATACCCCGCCCGTGTTTATCGCATCTATGATCTGGCCTGCTGCTCTGGTGGGAACAGCCACAGGCAGTGAGGCCGATACTGAGGAAACGGGCACGGAAGATTCTGCAGCCCAGTCAGTTCCGAATTGCCGCCTCAGTGTCTCACCCAGTCATGACTCTCCCTCACAACGATAACTCTGCCAACCTCCGGTCTTAGATCAATGCTGTCAAGCGCACAGCAACAGCAGCTAGCCATGCAGCTTTTGCAGCAACGCATTTCCCAGCTTTCAGTCCGCGAGCAACCGGTGCGTGGTACCCTCGCGCGACACCAACCAGCAGCGCCACCCCGGCCCTTAACCTTCCCTGCCTTCCCCCCTGCTCTGCGTTAGAAATATCGCTATTGGCGCACGCAGCCCGTGCCTCAATTCGATGACCCTGCTGATGCTCCGGTTTGTCGGCGTCTTCATGCCCGAGTTGTTTAGCTTGCTCTGCCATGGCCAGTCCCAGAAAGGGTTCTGTTCTATGACCTCCCTTTGATCTTGCTGATCTTATTGACAACACCCGCCTTTGCATGGCGCTTTGATCTGCCAGGAAG